AAGAGATTCCTAGGAATAGAATCACTGGGTCATGAGAATGCTCAATTTTATAAGATAGTACCAAATTGTTTTCCAGAGTGATGGTACCATTTTATACTCCCACTAGCAATGCCTATAAAATCCTATTTATTCTCATCCTCTAAATACTTGATTTTGTCATTTTTTTAAAGTTTTGCCAGTTGAATTTGTTGTATGACAATATCTCAGCATAATCTTGATTTGTATCTCCCTCATCACAAAATGACTTTGAATATTTCTTCATATGTTTAGTGCCCATATATATTTTAGGTTCTATAAAATACCTGTTCTTGGCTTTTTGTCCATTTTCTTTTAAGTTATTTCTAGAAATTCTAGGAAAATTTATATATTTTTTATGCCAATCCTTTGTCAGTATTGTGACTCTTTTTCAAACATGTAACCTGACCTACTTTCTTTAAGGAAAATTTAAATAGAAATTTTTAATTTTAATATAGTAAAATTTAAACTTTTTAGCACTTTCTATATATAAAAGTCTTCTCTGCCCCCTACCCATGGTCAGAAACATATCCATCTATGTTTTCCCCAATATTTTAACATTTTGCTTTGAATATTTAATATTTATCCACCTGTAATTGACTTCTGTGTACATTAATCGTAGAGATCCAATTTCACTTGTTTCCAGGTGAATAACCGTTTTCCTCCCACTGGTCTACCATGACACCTAGGCATGAGTATGTCTGAACTCTCTGTTCCCATTCCTTTGGCCATATGTTGTTCTTTAATAAAGTTTCATAATTTTTGCTATCAATATTTTACATATTTTAAAGTTCACTTCTTGGTATTTGATATGTGGACACTAAGTTGACTCTTGTAAAAGACTTACATTTTCTGGTTGTATATTGAGGGTATATGGAAATGTAATTGACTCATATCTTGATGTTACATGAGGCCTCTTGAATACTTTCCCTATTTTTTTTTTGAGACAGAGTCTTACTCTATTGCCTGGGCTAGAGTGCCATGGCTTCAGCCTAGCTCACAGCAACCTCAAACTCCTGGGCTCAAGCAATCCTTCTGCCTCAGCCTCCCGAGTAGCTGGGACTACAGGCATGTGCCATCATGCCCAGCTAATTTTTTCTATTTATAGTAGAGACGGCATCTCGCTCTTGCTCAGGCTGGTCTCGAACTCCTGAGCTCAAACTCTGCCTGCCTTGGCCTCCCAGAGTGCTAGGATTACAGGCCTAAACCACTGCTCCCAGCCTCCTCTATTATTCTTAATGATTTGTCTATAGATGTAAGCAATCATGTCACTTACAAACAATGACAACTTTATTGTTCTTTTAAAAAATCTTTGTGGCTTTAATTTTATTAGAACCTAGGAGTGAGAGTGGGCCACCTTTTCTTTTTCCTCACTTTAAAGAGCATACTTCCAAAATTTTCCCATTAAGATGATATATATTGTAGATTTTTAAAGTATATCATTTGTTAGATTAAGTATGTTTCCTTCTACTCCTAATCTGCTAAGCTTTAAGCTCAATGTTCAAATGTACTCTTAGCTTAATTGTTCATATTTTTTTTTATTTTAGTCATATTTGTGAGATCAAAGAACTATGAGAGTGTGGAGTTGCTTGGACTTAGAGAGATTGTAACCCCTTGAGCTTCATATTAGGAACCTAGGAAAGTGAGGTGGTATTGTCTAGGATCACACAGCAGTTTAGAAATGGAGTGGAACCCAAGTCATGAGACTTTATTGCCTGTGCTCTTTCCACTCAGTCAAGTGCCTCCTCAATACAGAAGAGTGTTCATTTTGCTAAGTGGCAAGGTCATCTTCATGACCTTGTTCAAATATGATCAACATGTAAAGCTGCTTTTTGTGATTCCAGAAAACCCAACTGGGGGAAAGTGAAAAACCATGCAATTTGCTTACACCACAGTGCTTGTGTATTTTGTTTTCCGTGCCTTCATTGGTCAATGTTTTTTGTGCCTATTTTGTGTCAGGGGTTTCTACTGCAGCATTTTAATATGATCTTAAGTCTCAGTTTGAATATTTTTTTTTTTTGCCTTTTGACTTCTGAGTAAAATGGCTGGAGAAAGCGAAATAACAAAGACATCAGGAGTTAAATAAGCAAACAACCATTTACCTTTATTACTGTGGCAAAGACCCAGTGCTGTTTCCTATAATGAAGCAGCTGATAATATTCTTGTTTCTGAAGAAAAATAAAATCAGTACTTACAAATAATGTGTCCTGCATGTTTCATTTCTAAACGAAAGAAATGACATTTATCTTAATTGTGCTGAAGTTTCTTTTGTATTCCTTCTGGGCTATTAACTTTTTTTCAAAGACATGACTGGATTGTGAATGGGGCAGAAGTCTCTCTGAAACATTTGGTTCTTAGTAGCTTTGAGAGAGAGGTGTATTGTACAAGTTCTGAACATTCTGGGTTTGAAGCCAAGGCTTGGGTGGCTATGTTCCTTTTGCAGCTGTAGTTTAAATTAGAAACATTCTAGTTTACAGAGATCCAGATTTTTAAAAAGGCGTTTATGGCATATAACTTCTAAAAGAGATGTATTGGCCTTAGCTTGCTTGATTCAGAATGAACGGAATGCAACAAAATTCAGATTATAGAGACGTGCACTTTTAAGAGTGTTTCCATAATGAGAGGCAATCAATCTCACTGTTGTTATATTAAGATGGAGCTTACTGTGAATTTTAATTTTATGTTGATTACTTTAAATAAACATCTTCATTCTCCCCTCACATGTCTTTAGGCGATCAAATATTTAAAAAATTTAAGTACGAAAATCCAGGTCATATTTGGTAGTAGTAGAATGGCATACAGATTATAGGTTCTTCATCTATGTTTTGACGTAGCACAAAGAAGCCCATTCTTCCTGCCTCCCAGGCATGAACTCAACACCCCCCTACACACACACAAAGTAGCACACGCAAGCAGCTCAAGATAATTTTTCAATGGGCTTCAACATTGTATAGCCTTGCAGCACACCAGACTTTGAATTCATTGAAAGACTGCAAGAAAATTGCTCTGCAAGATGCTAACCCAGAGAAATTAACTTTTAAAGTACCAATGGTATTGGCCATCTGGGGAAATTTCCAGATGCCACGTGCTACTTTGGGACTATTGTGACCTTACCTACTCCTTTCTTCCCTATCTAGATATTTGACCTTCCTTCAGTATAGTACTCTTCTCATTTTGGCTATGGAACCTTTGACATTGATCCTATGGACTCTTCCCAAAGTGTTTTTTCTTTTCTCTCTCATGATTCCTAAAGACTGCCCTATTTTAGAAAGCTCATAATGTAAACAGAAAAGAAAAGAATAGCATAAAGCCCTGGTTTTGAAAAGCAAAAATAAAAAGATATGAGAACAAGTACCGATAGTCCTTAGTACTTAAAAAGACATAGAATGAAGAGACTAGGAGGAAACACTTTTGTGTTCATAACATTGAGTTTGAGATGCAGGGTGACTGAGTTTTAAATGACACATTTGGAGTGAGACAGACATGGGTTCTGGTTTCAACTGTGGCCCATTTTACCAGTGTGACCTTCTCCTTTATGAATCTGTTTCCTTACCTACAAAATAAGAACAATAATAGTAGCTGCTATTAGGGTCATTATCAATATCAAACAAGAGAACAAATGCAAAGCTGTTAGCACAGGACACAGCACATAGCAAAGGCTCATTGAATGGTAGAATTTATTATTTATTATATACATTAATGAAAAATTTGTACAGATGGTATGACTTGGTTTTCACTTTGGGGCTTAGTTACTCTAAATGAAAGGGTTGTTCTAGAAATAAATAACCTCCTAGGAGCCCCTTCCAGCTCACTGATTACTGATTTGAATAGGGCTGATAAATGGACTTACAGCCTGAAAAGTTTGTATCAAGACTTGTGAAGGACTAGAAGAGTTCCAAGTCACAGAACTTCAGAAGGACAATGAAAGAAATAGGGATGGACTTTCTCTTGGCAAACGTCCCTTTTCTGAAGAGGTTAAATATTGAGCACTCGGAGCCTACCTGGTGTAGAGTGCAATGGTCATATAGGGTATTGCAGATACATGTGTGGGCAGCAGTTGAGCAAGACACAGAGACACTAGTTTATTAAAGGGTTGAAAAATGGATCGATTCATTTTGGATAAATGAGTGAATGAATGAGCCCAACCTGCTTCATTAAAATATTTATTCTCAATGTGTTTAACATCCTGTTTCATCCCATAAAATGAACATTTCAAGGTGGCTAAAAATGCATCAGGCCAAACTGAAGTTGGAAAACCCTTGCCTCATGGAGTTCTAGGTTGTTGGACATAAATCGAACTGCTCATTCTGAGGAACAAGACATAGGGGACATGGGGAGTCACTGCTAGTGTTTTTATGTCTTCTCTCAAATTTAAGGATAAAAGGAAATAGTTACCTTTCAATTAGGGAGGAAGAGGAAAAAACATGGAACCTTGGCCACATCTAAAATTTTTTTTTTTTTTTTTTAGAGAGACGGTGTTTGTTCTGTCATCCAGGCTGGAGTGCAGTGGCATCATCATAGCTCACAGCAACCTCAAACTCTTGGGCTCAAGGGATTCTCCTGCCGTAGCCTCCCAAGTAGGTGGGACTATAGGCATGTGCCACCACACCCAGATAAGTTTTTTAAATAATTTTTTTGTAAAATCAGAATCTCATCATGTTGCTCAGGCTGGTCTTGAATTCCTGACCTCAAGTGATCCTCCCACCTTGGCCTCCCCAAGACTTGGTATTACAGGCATGAGTTACCGTGCCTAACCTAGATATAATTATTAGTCAAAGATGAAACACACCTACATGTTCGTGATGGTGAGATTACAATACAGATCTTAGATTGTGTCCCAGCTGTGAACTCTGAATTGTCTTGGCAATGAGTAGACAGAGGATGACATTAGGGTAAAGGGAAATGATTCATTGGAATATATATTGTTAGAACTAAAGTGCCTCTGGCTACCTCTATTGAATGTTCAAATTTTAATGTTTCTACAGGGTCTTGGGACCAGAAAAACTCTCATGATTCTATAAATGTTGATGGTTCATTTTTCTCCAAGGCACTTCACAGATTAGGTCAGTGAACCTCAAAAATTCCTTGTCCCCTGTTGCTCCCAATTTATTATATAATTTTGTGCACTCTTATTTGTGTGATACTAGATGTTTATATTTTGGTATTTTATATTTTTATTTTTGCCTTTCAGCTTTCAAGTTGGAGATTTTTCAGGTCATAATATGAAAATGCTACTGATTTTGTTCCTCATAATAGTTTGTTCCCATGTTTCTGTGAATAAAGATCCTGGTAAGAAAACAAAATGGATAGAATTTTTTTTCCTTAATTTTCATTATAGAAAATAGATAATATATGAGCTTGATCTACTTAAATGTTAAGAGTTTTGTTTCACTTTGTTTTGATTTTGATGATAACGAGGGTGGAAGTGGTACGTCGATTTCTTTTTGTGGTCACCCCGGGATGCTTTGAACATCATTTGTTTCTGGACTTTATTCCTTGTTAATGATAGAAAGATATGAGAGCTGCCATTTTAACCTTAGTTTCAACCCATTTTAGGTCTTCTAGGAGGTTGCATTAAAATTCTATCTGTTAATATTAGGTTTAGGCATGGAAAATTTAAAATGTCTCCTCCTAATTGTGCCAAAAGATTGTCTTGATTAAATGTCCAGATTTTGTTCCAATTTAACTGTCTGCTTATTGTAATGAAAGTGTTTTTACCACGAAGAGAAAGCTCTGTATCATGGTTTAATGTTTGCCAGAAATCTATGTCCAGTGGACTTAAAGTCCAGATACTGGGCCACCCTTTACCACCTCTACCACCTCTTAAATAACTGGTTCTTGTGCCTGTCAGTTCATATCCAGGGCCACCTGCGTTGGCTTTTATACCTTCCTCAAGGACTCAGACCTTGGAAGCAAGGTTTTTGAAGAGATAAACTAGACTGTGCCCTGCAAACATCCTCCTTTGATGTCTCACTGGGCCTTAGTCTTTTTAAGGAGAGGCAGTGGTTTTTTTCCCCCCAGTCATTTCATGGTTCAGACATAGTGATGGATCTCCATCATAACCCAAATCCACCTCCTGTGCCAGTCATCTATATTTCCTTTCCCCACACAAGATATGGGAATTTGTGAATGGAGAGGTCACTGTTGGTCACAAGTCAAGCAGTCCTGGGCAGGAGGGCTCACCTGACAGCCCTCACTGGGATCCCATCCTTGGAGGAAGGTATGGATTGATCCTCATTTATTTCTTCCCCTGAGATGCTGCTGGCTGTGTGATCATGAAAGGAATCTCAGATTGGTTGGAATTAGGTTATTTAAAGGATAAGAAAAAGTTATTTTATCTATTTTGCATTGATCAGACTGATATTAAAAAGAATGAAATAGCATACAGAGTGCCAAAGCTGGCTTCCTAGCAATGGCAGAAAGGAAAAGATTGACATTATTTTCAATCTTATTAGAATTTATCCAGTAACCATTTCAGATAACAAGAATCTCAAAGTTGAGGAGGCATCTTAGATATTTTCTAGTTGAATCTACTAATTTTATAACAGAGGAAACTAAGCCCCAAGTACATTAAATGGCTTGTTAGAGCTCATAGAATTAGCTGATGGCAAAGTCAGGGCTTTTATTACTTGCTTCACTTACACTGTATTTTACACTGTATTTTCTTAAACATACACCATACATGCTTCCTTCCCTTCCCTAGACAAGAAATGGATTTTGTGCTAAGATAATGAGAGCTCTGAATCCAAGCCACCAGACCGTTAGTAATCAACATTTAATATTTGAATCCAGTGATTCTCTATCACATAAAAATATAATTCCAGATACCTAGTATTGAATGAAACTTCAAAAGTTTAATAAAATATCATATTCCTATATAAAACATATTTTTAATAGAAACTAAAACTAGAAAACTAGAAACTAAAACTGTAATTCCTTTTCTAGCCCAAGATAATATCGGTGCCATCAAATTTTGCATATGTGAGAATAAATTCACCAATTATAATGTTACTTAAAATATCAAAAAATATTATAAATATTATCAAAAATATTACAAATAACTTTAAAATAAATTAAAGCAATTCCTTATTTTATGACTTGTAGGTATTTTTAAAACTTCATCAATTTGACAAATTGGAATTATAAAACTAATATGTTCATAAGTTAATCAGATCACCTGTTGCATTGTTGCAATGAGAATGAAAAGCTGTCAGATTTCATCATTCAAAACAATTTGAAGGAATTTGGTTCTTGATTAAAATTTTTATCCTGTTGATTTAAATTGGGGTCAAATTCTGAGAGCAAAAAAGTACAAGGGGAAATTACCCACAAAAGGTACAAAAACCTATGGTTTCTTCTTCTAATTAACTAATTTCTTGAAATAAGTGATGCTTAATTTTGTGATCACTTCAAATAAGAGGTTGTATAAGAGACTTATCCCAAGAAACACTTCTTTTTCTTGAGAGAATGTGTAGTTTCAGATTTCTTTTTTCAGTTCATTGGAAAGGTATTAAAAAAAATAGGAAAGTACTCCCTCTCCGCTTATATTTGACATTAAATATGGTAGTAAATTTTTAATTTGCTTTGTTCATATGCACATTTGTGGTTCTGTAGGCCCTGAGTACGCAGATGTGGTGTTTCTGGTGGACAGCTCTGATCACCTGGGAACTAAGTCCTTCCCGTTTGTAAAAGCCTTCGTCACCAAAATGATCAACAGTCTCCCCATAGAGGCCGGCAAATACCGCGTGGCCCTGGCCCAGTACAGCGACCAACTCCACAGCGAATTCCAGCTGAGCACCTTCAAGAGCAGGAACCCCATGTTGAACCACCTCAAGAAGAATTTCGGGTTCATGGGCGGGTCCCTGAGGATAGGACACGCTCTCCAGGAGGCTCACAGGACTTTCTTCTCTGCACCCACAAATGGCAGGGACAAGAAGCAGTTTCCCCCGATTTTGGTGGTCCTGGCTTCGGCCGAGTCTGAGGATGACGTGGAAGAGGCTTCAAAGGCCCTGCGGAAAGACGGGGTGAAGATCATCTCTGTGGGGATGCACAAGGCCTCCGAGGAAAACCTGAAGTCCATGGCCACGTCCCAGTTTCATTTCAACCTTCGGACCGTCAGAGACCTCAGCACGTTTTCCCAGAACATGACGCAGATCATCAAGGATGTGACAAAGTACGAGGAAGCAGGAGTTGATGATGCCATTGTAGAAGGTAGGCTTAGAATGCACGGATAAGAATGGTGATAAATGCTTTTGAAAAATCAACATGGGGATCAAAACTATGAACATCCCTGTCCCCCAAATGGGCTGTATTTTCAGATGTTCTATGTCTGTATGTTCAAGAGGGTCCAGTGATTATGGCCATTTGAAAAATCCAGTGAACACCAGGAGCCTTGGTTTCCACATTTCACTTATCCATGTTGCACGTCATTCATAGACTTCTTAAAACTCAGAGACGCCGTCTCGCTACGCTGGGCTTTAGTTGTGATGTAGTCTTATTACTTGTTCATTTAAAAAGTAAATTTGCTTCTAAAGAAATCCTTAACTCTTGAAGCCACATAATGTAATCATAGCATGTTAGAGCTAGAAACAACTGTCAATAGTCCAAACCCCCTTTTCTGCAGAGAGGACCTTGCAGGTGTCCTTAGACGTGACATGCCTGGCCCACGTCCAGGCTGCTGATTCCCAGCCACGTAGCTTCAGCCTGGCACGGCCCCTCTCTCTGCTGCTCCGTTCTGAACCAGCTTCCCTATGTCCAGCTTCATGGCCAACCTGCTGTCCTGTTCTGTCCTCTTGTGTTACTCTGGTAACAAGAATGGCCAAGAGTTTATAAACATCATTCAAGGGAAGATCAGGGGAGATCTAGTAACAAACAATTTGTTCAAAGTGTACATGTCCAGATAAGAAGTATAGGAAACTCACATTATTCCTGTTTAAATCAGTTTGAATGAGATGATGTATATAATTACCTAAGAGTAATAGAGAATGCTTTTCTTGTGGTATTAAATAATTTATGAAAATATGAATCCTTATTACTAGCATCTTTACCCAGTAGAATAATTGAAAGTGCAATTGCTATTCTATTACCATTCCTTAGGAATATTTGGGCTATAGCTACTGATTATAACATGATGATTAAATTATTTTAATATGATAGCAGTAGCTCCTGTTCATTGAGTGAATCTTAGGTACCAGGCCCCATGCTAAATATATCATGTCATGTAATCACCATACCAACTCTATGAGAGAAATATTATCTCCATTTTACAGATGAGGATATTGAAGCTGGGAGTTTAGCTAAGAGCTAGTATTTGAACTCGGGTCCCACCAATCTCAGATTCATAATTATTTTGTGTATATGTCCTCCTTTCTTTAACAGCGTAACTCAGCTCCAGTGTATGTTCTTCCTGCCTGCTGGTGCTGAGCAGTGATGCCAAATCTCCAGCTAAAATCGTATTTGTCCTTTCTTTGTGCACAGTTTGCCAAGGCCCTTCTGTGGCCGATGTCGCGTTCCTGTTCGATATGTCTGCCAATGGAAGCCAGGAGAACTTTGACTACCTTAAAGAATTCCTGGAAGAAAGTGTCTCTGCCCTCGACATAAAGGAAAATTGCATGAGGGTGGGCCTCGTGGCCTATAGCAACGAGACGAAGGTGATAAATTCACTGAGCGGGGGTGTAAATAAGTCGGAGGTTCTCCAGAACATACAGAACCTCTCTCCCCAGGCCGGGAAGGCCTACACCGGAGCTGCCATCAGAAAGATCAAGAAGGAAGTCTTCAGAGCGCAGAATGGCAGCCGGAAGAATCAAGGGGTGCCTCAGATTGCAGTGCTGGTGACCCACAGACCTTCGGAAGACAACGTGACGAAGGCAGCCCTTAACCTCCGGCGCGAGGGCGTGACCATCTTCACCTTGGGCATCGAGGGCGCTAGTGACGCCCAGCTGGAAAAGATAGCATCCCACCCGGCTGAGCAGTATGTCTCCAAACTGAAGACCTTCTCTGACCTGGCTGCTCACAACCAGACCTTTCTGAAGAAGCTGCGGAACCAAATAACACACACGGTCTCTGTCTTTTCAGAACGGACGGAAGCACTCAAATCTGGTAAAGTCCTTTACTGAGAGGAGGAGTATTCATATTCGTTTTTCTTTGTCTTTTTTTTGTCTTTTGAATATTATATATCCAAAAGGGATTGGTGGGATGTAGGATATGGGTAGGGAGAATAAGTTTCTAATTTTCTACTTTAGCTTGACAATATGAACTCCAAGTTGGGAGGAACAAAATATTGAGGTGTTGGCATGGGGAAAGGGATTTCCCTTTTTGCTTCCTATGTGCAGCTTTAATGGGCTTCGTTACCCATGGAAGCCCCAGGATACCTTCCTTTGCTATTTTTCTCCCTTATCTTTTTCATTCATTCCTTTGCCACTTACATTCCCTGATATTTCTTTTTTCAAAATTCTCTTTTTAACTTTCCCTTCTCCTCTTCCCTCATCCTCAAATTCCAATTTAGAGAATAAAAACAGGAAATATGATTTGGATAGAGGACAAGGTACTTACGTAATTTGTTGCAAAGTACCATTTTAACATCTGCAAGTTTCAAGACAGAGACAGAGGCGATGTATTTTATACATCTTATATATGCACATGTGTGCTATGTAAATATTTTTGTGTATAGCTGTCCATGTATGGATATATGTATACATTCTTGAACAAGTATTTATAGCATATTTACTATAAAAGTGTCATTGTATTACATAAGCTCACCAGTATCTCTAGTTTACTTAATTGATGAGGAGTGAGGGGTAAATAATTTGTTCAAGATTTCAAGAAAAGAGAATTTGTATGTCCACGGTGTGCAGTCGGGTACCTTCTCCATTTCCTAACACGCCACCTGACTATTTGCTAAGCCATCATTTACTAATGGGAAAAGTGCCTTGTAAAAAGCAGCTTCAAGTTTTTCTGATCTTTTACTATATCCAGATTTACCCTGTTTCATGGCAGAGAATTAGGGTGATAATCTTAAACTGTCAGAAGCAATTCATTTGGCCCAACTGATGCTAAGATTTCCCCCTTTTAAGCTAGTAAAGAATGCTTTTTAAGCCCAGAAGCTGTTTCCCATTTTTCTGTCTGAAGAGGTTCATATTTGTTGTTTCTCAATCTGCCACCTACCATTTCTTTTTCCCAGTTCCCGCAAATGCCACATTCAACCTTTTGGTTCCCTTGTAGGTTGTGTGGACACTGAGGAAGCCGACATCTACCTGCTCATTGATGGCTCAGGCACCACCCAGCCCACAGATTTCCAAGAAATGAAGACCTTCCTGTCCGAGGTGGTAGGCATGTTCAACATTGGTCCCCACAAGGTGAGGGTCGGGGCCGTTCAGTACGCCGACAGCTGGGACTTGGAATTTGAGATCAATAAATACTCAAACAAGCATGATTTGGGAAGGGCCATTGAGAACATCAGGCAGATGGGGGGGAATACCAACACGGGTGCAGCGCTGAATTTCACACTGAGCCTCTTGCAAAAAGCTAAGAAGCAGCGAAAGACCAAAGTGCCACGTCACCTTGTCGTGCTGACGAACGGCATGTCTGAGGATAGCGTCTTGGAGCCTGCGGACAGACTGAGAGAAGAGCACATCCGTGTCTACGCCATCGGCATCAGGGAGGCTAACCAAACACAGCTGAGAGAAATCGCAGGCGAGGAAAAAAGAGTGTACTATGTGCATGACTTCGATGCTTTGAAAGACATAAGAAACCAAGTCGTTCAAGAAATCTGTGCTGAGGAAGGTGAGAGAAGTGGTGGTTTTACCTTTTGACTTTGGCCCATAGATTGCTTTGATATGGCTGGTTTAGAGAAACAACGTAAATTTCTGAGTTGAGGTTTGTTTACTTGTGTAACTATGTTTATTCTCCAGAACAAAGCCAAGAGCCCATTATAGCATTGTTCTAATTATTATCTGAAGAGTCAGAAAGATATTTGGAGGGATTCCCCCAAGAAATATTAATTAGCTTCCTGCCAGAAATCCGTACTAGGATAGATATATTATTAGATATCAAGTGTGTAATATGATCAAATGGTTTGATTTTTAGGAGTATCTCAAGTTTATTTAAACTTCTTTTTTATAAAACATTTATGAAATCTTTTAGAGCTGTGTCAGTAGTTTTCAACCAGGGGTGATTTTGACCCGTCGGGGGATATTTGGCAATTCTGGAAACAATTTTGGTTGTCATACCTGGGGGGAGTGCTCCTGGCATCTAACAGGTGGAGGTCAGGGATATTGCTAGACATCCTCCAGTATCCACAATGCACAGACTGCCCACCTCAATAAAAATGATTTGGCCCAAAATGTCAATAGTGCTGCATTGAGAAACCTTGAGGTATATTATTATGTTTTAGCAAATTACTAAATAACAAATAGAATAGTCTCACTTTTATTGCCCTCAATGCTTTATTTACCAATTTAACAATCCTTATCAAGCACACATTTAACTTCAATATAAAATTATTCGTGTTTTGGATTTTTCTGTTCATTCAATTTTTTACATGTAGCTGACTTGAATAAACATCCTAATTTCTCCCACGCAGCCTGCAAAGAGATGAAAGCTGACATCATGTTCCTGGTGGACAGTTCTGGCAGTATAGGACTTGAAAACTTCAGTAAAATGAAAACATTTATGAAAAACCTGGTGAGCAAATCTCAGATTGGGGCAGATCGGGTACAAATTGGTGTAGTCCAATTCAGCGACATCAACAAGGAGGAGTTTCAGCTCAACAAATTCACAACTGAAAGTGACATTTCAGATGCAATAGACCGAATGGCTCACATTGGAGAAACCACCTTGACCGGTAGTGCCCTGACCTTTGTGTCTCAGTACTTCAGCCCCAGCAAGGGGGCCCGGCCCAATGTCAGGAAGTTTCTCATCCTCATCACGGATGGTGAAGCTCAGGACATAGTAAAGGACCCAGCGGTAGCTCTTCGGCAAGAAGGCATAATTATCTACTCTGTGGGAGTGTTTGGCTCCAATGTCACTCAGCTTGAGGAGATCAGCGGGAGGCCTGAGATGGTTTTTTACGTTGAGAATTTTGACATTCTGCAGCACATTGAAGATGATCTCGTTTTTGGAATATGCAGTCCCCGTGAAGGTGAGCATGGGCATATTCACCAGCAAGACTATCCAAATACCAGATGTCTATGTTAATCATTATTTCTTCAATTAAGTACAGTTCTATTCAAACATTGTAAAGTTTTTATTTTAATTAAAATGTTTCTCTTAGTGGCCTTGGGCTATTGAATTAGACAGCAAGGAAGGATTTTGTTCACCTAGACTCATTCCCATTGGTAGGCAAATAGCTCTAGGGGGATGGATCCTCCATTTAAGAAAAGTAGTGTCATACCAGGTCTTAGATCAGATTCTCGAGAAGCAGAAGGTGGGTCAGGGGTTCCTGTGGAAGTGATTTATAGAGGAGGTGTTTTCAGAAGGGAGTAGGAAAAGCAGGCCAGGGCATGGGTAGGAGCTGAGTAAGGAGGTCATCCTGGCTGGAGTCTCATTTCAGCCTGATCCCATGGTTAGCTCTAGAGCATGAATCACACCACTGATTTGGTCCTCCATTGACACAAGGGGCCCAGCCTTGTGTATCCTGCCTAACTGGGCTGCGTGAGGGCTACTGAGGCAGGCCCAGGGGCGCATAGCCTGGGAAAGGTGGCTCACCTTTGGCCTAGCCATCTAGTATACATGGGGTTTATTTTTGCAGTTTCTGAAGATCAATACATGTATCAAGTGAAATAACATTTGTGAAAACACTTAGATATTTATTAAATTTTATAAAAGAGGAATATAAATAGGGACCTTGAGCAACAGATTCTTCAAAGGAAGCAAAGGGCATAGTCCCCCCACCCTCTTCACATCAAACTGCAGAATAATGGAAGTGATCCAACAAAAGGTTAGCAAATATAAAGGGCTGATTTATGCTGTGACCCATGGGGCTGAATGAAGAGGCATTCTGAAAAGTCTCTGTGAAGGAGAAGGATCTTAAAGGAGTTTTAAAGGAGGAGAGGACCATCATTTTCTTATTCAAATAACAGTTCTGTTACACTCCCACTGGAAGGTTTGGTGATCACGGTCTGTGTTTTATAGAAAAAGGAGTACACCTGGTCCATATTGCCTGGGAATTCCACCCAGAACAAATATGAACTCTTTGAAGGATTCTAACACTGAGCAATCTAACCCCAGGTCCTTGGGGAATCCAAGCAGGCTTTGCAGGCAGCTCAAGGCCAGAGGGACATAGCTCTTCCTTTAGTGGAGCCAGCTCTTCTTGGGAATTTGGTTTATGGCTCTGTACCCACGGCCTCCAGTGGGGGTAAACGCATTGGCTCTGGGGTTTTCAACAACCCTCGCACAGCCAATAAGTGGCTGGCTAAAGAAGGAAATTCCGTGAGCCTCTGAGTAGGGGGTCCTTTCTCACAATTCCATTTCTCAAGAATGGATGAGTTAACATTTGGATCATACTGTCCTATGGCCTGTAGAGAGAATGTGCTACATAAAGACTAAGTAATGAACCATCTTCCAATTCCACTTCTCCAGAAAAGATGAGTTGGAGTTTGGAACACCGCGCCTTTGCAGGGAACATGCTATACATGGATTAACTATTAATTGCGGTTTTTCCTGCCTTATTTTTTCCATGGTGTTGACCTCAGGTTTAAAAAGTTGATAGGAATGTCAAGCTAAGAGCAGTTTAGTTGGGCCAAGTGAGAAATGGGCTTATTTCTATGATGAGGCCTAATAATGAAAATAGATGATGTTTCAAAAAAGCCAAAAAAGGAGAAAAATGTAACCTTAAGAAATCAGCCATCCATAGAACCATGAAAAAAATATACAGTGTTGCCAGATTGATTTGCATTTGGTTATTTCCCTAAGGTTTATTTTCAGAATAAAATCTCAAGATCCCTGTGGCTTAAAAAAACAAATTTTAAATTTGTATAAATGAAAGCACATGTTGAAGGAACCATTTTAATAGGAAAATTTACACAGAATTGTGATTTTTTTTTTTTTTAGTCTAAAGGTTTTTGAAATTTCTGATAATCCTGTGATTATCACTCTGCCCCTCTCACTTCCCGCAGTAGGTTTCACTTCACACCTGCCTTGTCCTGATAGCTCACCTGAGTATGAACTATGTCCTGGCGGCACAAATGTACATGTATTGTCTCTGTTATCCAGGGACTTGACATTCTAATGCACAGCCTGAGCCCATGAAAACACCAGCAATTAAAAAAAAAAAAAAAAAAAAAGGTACAGGATCCCCCATGCTGTCCAAAGCTAATCTCATATGGTTTTCCTTTCTCTTCCAGAATGCAAGCGGATTGAAGTTTTGGATGTCGTGTTTGTGATCGACAGCTCTGGCAGCATTGACTACGATGAGTATAATATCATGAAGGACTTTATGACTGGCTTAGTGAAAAAAGCCGATGTTGGCAAGAATCAGGTCCGGTTTGGGGCTCTGAAGTATGCCGATGACCCAGAGGTGCTGTTTTATCTGGACGACTTTGACACAAAATGGGAGGTGATTTCAGTGCTCCAGAAGGACCAGCCCATGGGGGGCAACACTTACACTGCTGAGGCGCTAGCCTTCTCAGACCACATGTTCACCGAAGCCCGGGGCAGCCGCCTGCACAAGGGGGTCCCCCAAGTCCTCATCGTGATCACTGATGGGGAATCTCATGATGCCAATAAGCTCAATGCCACAGCAAAGGCCTTGCGGGACAAAGGCATTCTTGTCCTGGCCGTGGGGATTGCTGGCGCCAATCCCGTGGAGCTGTTAGCCATGGCAGGGTCAAGTGACAAGTACTTCTTCGTGGAGACTTTTGGAGGCCTGAAGGGGATATTCTCAGATGTGTCAGCCAGTGTCTGTAACTCTTCAAAAGTAGGTAAGGCCTGTCACTTAAGTTTTCCCTGGTTATTAAGAGAGGGACAAATGAGGGGGAAAACAAAGCAACAGCCCTCAGGAGCAAGTCTTCCAGAGAGGAGACAAGGAGTCCTTACTGTTTCATAGGAATTCCCACGTTATAGAATCTCAGGGTTGGAAAGAGCTCTAGGATGTTTCATCTAGCCTCCTCTCCAAAGAACAATATCTCCTACAGCATTCCTACTCACGTCCTCCTAACCTCATCTAATGATGAGGAGTTCACCATTTTTGAAGAGGCTTTATTTATTAGAACATAATTTGCTTACATGTGTTTCCACCCACCAGTTCTTTTAGCTGATCTTTACACAAGAAATGGAATTCTCCTCATAAGAAACAGCTATAATTGCCTGAAGTTTTCTTTCCTTCCGGCTAGAAGTCCCCAGTTTCTTTATTTCTATCATGGCACAAGCTAATATAAAATGTGGAGCCGGGTATCAAACACTCTGGTTTCAGCCTCAGACATCTCTAAGCCTGAACAGAGTACGGTGGGACTTCCTTTGTCTAGAAGCTTCTATTCTGACAGATGGAGATTGTGTTGCTGCATTTATGTATTTATGTACGTATATTTATATATATTCCTTAGCATTCGTTCATTCAGCTGCCATTTTACACTTTTGGTTTGGAGGGAGATTGTTATTAAAATTCCTAAGTGTTTTTCCCAAGATGATTTTACTGAAAATAAGTAAAGTACTTGTACTAGCTATATCAGTATTTTTACTAGATGAATTGCTATTAATCCATGATTCCAACATCTGGATGCAGTTCTTTGTAAAAATCATTTAACTTTTCTGGTTTTCATACGCTTTGCCTCCAGAATGCAGCTACTATCTTTTTCTCCCCCCTGCGACTACCTTTTTCTTTCACAAAACTAACACAATCTTTCTGGATTTTACTGAAAACTGGGACAAGTCCCTTCTCTCCTTGTAGCCAATGCCTAAAATTTGATCTGCCCTTCTCAAGTCCACTGTGGAAGTTGACATTGCATTTTCATATTGAAAGTTCTCCTTTGGGCAGAAAAACAGTACTGGATTTCCTTTATTGGAATCTGAAACAAAGGAATATAATGAGTTAACCAATTCCTGAAGGATCTATTTACCACATTTCTTTTTATCTCTTCCTTGCTTATCGGGACTTCAGGAATCTCAGATACCTTTAATCTTTTCTGAGGCTATCATGAGAATTAATTAGAACAGTGGTTGGAGGCATTGGGGAATTCAAGGAAATGATAATGCTTACCAGAAAGCTGAGGAACACACATGAACATGTGCCAAGAATAACTCATCCGTTGGCAATAGCCTCTCATATTCTTTTTGTTTTTTGTTTGCTGTGTTAATATAAGCAGAGCATCTCTACATTGTATTATTTGTTCAAAAATATTTTTCTCCAGTAGGTATTTTTGCCTATATACACCAGAAAGGGGGCTGATAAAAAGGAAAACCGACTAGACACAGACCAGATGGCACACTTTTAAAACCTCTCCTCAATTTGCCCTAATAAACCAGAAAAATATTTATTGGCTCAAATGCCCAGGGAGGCCAAGTCAATAATATGAACCCTCTGTTTCTTTGTTTGAAACTCTTAAGTGTAGGTATGTGTTATTTTGTTTTCTCTTGCGGTGCTGCTACTATGACGGGGCTTTCTGGAAGGGTTAAGGCTTGATTGTGGAGGAGAACAAGTTTTCTGCAGAAACCCTCTCCAGTTTTCTTAGCACATCAGAAAAGAAAATGGCATAAGACCAAATGGCCAAGCCAAGAGAAGCATACAAGGATGTACGAGTGGCTTTGCCTGGTGCTGACTTTATGACCTTATTGTGTGTTTTTATTTCCTCTCTGATTAATGTGACTACAGGGTAGCACAATAAACCACTTCTAGAAATATTAATATTTTTATATAGCTGCAAACACTTAATTTACTCTTGGTGGATTAAAGAAAGAATAACAATCTGTGTGTGGGGGGGGTGTTCTCTTTCTTCTTCCTGTAGATTGTGAAATTGATAAAGTAGATCTTGTTTTCCTCATGGATGGTTCAAATAGCATTCATCCAAATGACTTCAAGAAGATGAAGGAATTTTTAGCATCTATCGTTCAAGACTTTGATGTCAGCCTCAACAGAGTGCGTATAGGAGCAGCCCAGTTTAGCCATATCTATCAGCCGGAGTTTCCGCTGGGAACTTTCACAGGCGAAAAGGAGATATCACTTCAGATTGAAAACATCCAGCAGATCTTTGGATATACACATATCGGCGCAGCACTCCAGCAGGTGGGACATTACTTCCAGCCAGACAAGGGCAGCAGGATAAACACAGGTACCCCCCAGGTGTTGCTGGTCCTTACTGATGGCCAGTCCCAAGACGAGGTGGCCCAGGCTGCCGAAGCCCTGAGACACAAAGGCATCGACATCTATTCCGTGGGCATCGGGAATGTGGACGACCAGCAGCTCATTCAGATCACCGGGACTGCGGATAAAAAACTGACAGTTGATAACTTTGATGAACTGAAAAAGGTCAAAAAAAGGATTGTTCGCCACATCTGTACCTCGGGGGGCGAGAGCAGTAAGTATTTAATGAGTTTTTCGTATTTAATCCCTCCACTGTCTTCCCTGACATTTTCCTCAAGCTCCGTTTACACCCCCTGGGGCTGGTGGGAGAATTTAGATTTATGCCCCTGGATTTCAAATTGAACTTTTCACAGTTATCAAGCATTTTTTGTGATGTGTGGATTGAGAAACAGGGTGTTTGAGCTCTTGTGCCTTTTTTTTTCTCCCTCTCTCCTGGGGGAACGTGCCCCCCTTTGTGAATGGGAATGCCTCGACTTCAGAAGGTGGGAGAAAAAGGCCACTGTTTGCAGTCTGGCTGGTTTAGAGGTTGAAGAACGTGTCTAAGAGAAAAAAACTACTTGATGGATTTTGGTTGCCCGGCAATAGGGCCTGCAGGGCTGCCAGGTGTGATGGTACAGGCAGGTAGGGAGCATCCCAGAGGTTTGGATCTTTATTATGAAATTTTACCACAAAAGTTAGTAAATATCTTCTTTACAATTAGCACATTTTACTTCTGTGTGTTGGAAAAAATGTCAAAGTGTCTTAAAGAAGGGGTACATTTTTCTATTATAAAGGCACTTTATGGGTTTGGCTATGATTCTGTGTAACTACCCATGGTAAACATTAACCCCAGGTTTCCACCAAAATAAAGGAAAGCTACAAGGTCGTTAAGAGGCAGCTCTGGAGACACATGATCTGACCACAAGTCCCTTCTCTGTGACTATTTTTTCTTGGACAAGTTGCTTAACTTCTCTGTTAATTTTCTCACCTATGAAATGTGAGAAAACAGCAGCACCTAGTGCAAAAGAGCATTCTGAGGATCAAATGAGAAAATGCATGTCTAAACTTTACTTTGAATAAGCATGGCACCTGGGGTAAAATTGCAAAGTCTATTCATTTTTGTCTATACAACACGCCCTTTAAATGTATTATAGGGGCTAGCTCTTCCCTGGCCCCTAGTTACTTTCAGGAAATAAATGAACGTCCTCTTGGTGATTAGTATGTCCATCTCGGTGTAACTATGAAAACTTCAAACCTTATTCATGCTCACCTGCCGTGAGAGAAGAGACCACACACATGGTTGGTGTTTCACCTGTTGCCCCCTCGTTTCCACTTCTACCCCTCCTCCCATCCCTGCCCCACCTCATGCTAACCATGGTTTCTGGCCTCTCCAGAATTGACTTTGAAAGGGAGAAAAGAGCTAAAGGGGTACAGGAAAGTTTTTATTTGATGGTCCTCATCAGGAATAGGTTTTCTCTGATGACAGCATATGTCTACAGCTGGGTCCATTCATGGGTCCTTGAAAGATTCTTTTTCTCTCCGTCATCTCTGCCCCCACCAAAGCACATTCATCAGGTGACCTCCCAACCATGGTTCCTTTGAGGAGGAGGATAGGTATATCTCAATTCTGGATAGTCCCTTATAGCTTCCTCAGCCTCTGAGCATCTGGTGATACCTTCAGCTTTGTTCTGCTGAGGTCTCTCTGCCCCCTGCAAGTGGGCTTCTTGGCTAGGAGATTAGAGAAGCCCACAACAGCTCTTTCTCACACTTGGCCTTATCAGCTCCATGGGAAACATTACGTATCAGTGCCCTCAAGTGTGGACGTCTCTCCTTTGCAGGGGGAGCAACATGCTATCCTGTGTATCATTCTTTAGATTAGATTCCAGGATTAAGTTATCTCTTAAAGCCCCTCTCTTGACTTCAAGAGGAAATTACCGTGTGTGTGTGTGTGTGTGTGTGTGTGTGTGTGTGTGTGTGTGTGTCATGCACACGTATGTGGTGGGAGAACTCACAGCACATCAGCAGCTCTCTCCAAACATGCTCTTCCAAACTCCAGTCTCAAAACTTTTATAAGACTTAATGTGTAGGTTAAAGGTTAAGATTTCAGGACTACTGGCTGTGTAAATCCTGCTTCATGGTTTCCCCATACTTTGGAATGTGTCTGATTACCTCAGCCAGACCTTCCACATTAATTTCCTATTTCACATGACATACCCACTTTCAATTATTAGCCAGAAGATTTTCTTGGAACCATCTAGTTTCTATTTGAGTGCATGAAAGAAAACAATGTGGAAAGTCAAAAACAGGAGTGTGAACTCCAAGTAGTCAGTGAGTTATCTTTAAAGGGAAACAGTCATGAATGCAAAAAAATAAAATAAATATTCTTTATTAAAGTGAACTTGAGGCTATTACCTTACCATGCAAGAATGTGAAGCCTTTGTAGCCAGGCTGTGAGCTCAGGGCTGAAGGGCTGGAATGAGCACTGATAAAGCTTCAAAGGCATGTGCAAATGTATTAGGGTACGCCAGTTCGTCTCAAACTATAAATCCCCAAATCAAGGAAATCGGACAGTAGCTGGGTGTGGCTCAAAACAAGTTGGACATAGAACATTTGCTCTGCTTCTTACTAAAATATCCACAACTTCAGAGAGGTCACTACCCTTTCTGAGTGTTACTTGGTTTTCTTGTTCAGAGAGCTCAGTCCTCTCTAACAATTCCTGTAATTGTAGACTACGATTTGATACATGTGAAAGGAAGGTCAGCTGCATGGAGATGAGAATGAGGTGACCAAGAATCATTGTATTTTGAGCATCTACAAAGGGTCAAGCCTGGTGCTCTAAGCACTTTAAATGCATTATCTCATTTAATTCTCCCAATATGCTATGTGGTTTATATTTTTATTTTCATTTCTAAATGTGGAAACTGGTACTCAATGGAATATTGATAGAGTGGTCTAGTTCATACAGGAAGTAACAGGCTAAGCACATTTTGAAACCTAGGTTTGTCTGACTCCCTAATACCCCCCATTTTTTTTTGTTAAATTGTTTTCTCGATGTAGCTGTCTAGGTTATCTGATATTGACATGAACTAGTGTCTAAGTGTTGGCCATCATCAGTTAATACATGGAGCTTATTAAGACTTCGTAGGTTTATCTCTTGGAGATTGCTCTCTCAAGCTGCTGCTCCCTATAGAAACCACTTGCTGCTAAGCTGTCACTTCCAATAACACAAGCTAGTAGCAGAGCTAGGAACCTGCATGACCTGTCATCACTGGCTACCCAGGAAGTGATAAAATGAGGTGACTCAGCAAATGGATTGCACAGAAATCTGGATCTGAATCCCAAGTGTGAGATCCACAGTAGCAACTGTGAGACATTTGGCAACCTTCTCTAAGTCACAGCTTCCTTATCTGAAAAATCAATAAGAGTTTCTTCTTATCCTATGTTTCATAAGGACAAGTGAGATAATGGGAAGTGCATGGTAAATGTTCATTGAGTATTAGTATCACAGCATGTTACTGAGGGTACCTTGAAGTGCTCTTATAAATGAAAATTCATGGAATGATGGAGTTAGTGCACAGAATAACAGTTTACCAAGAGTTCCTTGGTTTAGAGATTTAACTATTTCAGTGGTATTTTAGAGCTATATTCCAATGTAATGTCTCAACATACACCAAATTTTCTTAAGCAACTGAACTCCAAAGTTTGTTTTCTTACCATTATCCATGCTTATTTTCCTGATTTTTCTTTGAGCCTGGCTACCCTGTCCTCCTAGGGGAGACTTTGGGTAATTTTCAGGGTGGAAGTCCTGCCTTTTTGGCACAAAGCCATAATTAGGTAGCAAAAGAATAAGTACCTCTCATTTTTTGCATCTCTCATCATAGGTAGATGAATCAAAAGTGAGATTAAGCAAACAGCTGGTCTGATTAGGATGAGGTAAGAGACAACCTCAGGATTTGATTTAAGGAAAAAAATGGTCATCTCTAACTTTTCTTTTTTTTTTTATTTCGGCATATTATGGGGATACAGATTTTAAGGTTTCAATAAATGCCCATTTCCCCCCCTCCCCCCAAAGTCTGAGTCTCCATCATGACCATCCCCCAGATGGTGCACATCTCACTCATTATGTATGTATATACCCGCCCCCCTCCCCCCTCCCACCTGCCCAATACCCTATTACTGTAGTACCTATGTGTCCACTTAGGTGCTACTCAGTCTAACTTTTCTTGATAAGTAGCTGTTTATGTTCCTGTCTTAACTGGGTTCCCCAGAAGACAGAGCTTGAAGCAAAGTTTATGTGCTTACCTTTCTGGAAGTGTAAGTCCCAAGAAGCAAAAGTTAAGTGCAAGGGGGAGTGATACATATAGGAAAGGAGGGAAAGTAAATACCAGGTGGGATGTCACCAAGCTAGCCACAGCTGCTTAAGAAAGCACAATGGGTATGCTGGTCATGCAGAACGTCAACGAAGAGGCCCTGGAGAACCACTGCATATACCAGTCCAGCAGGGGGAATAGGGGAGAGGCTTTATTTGCCTATTGCTTCCCCTTTACTGCCTCTCAGTTTATCCCATGGAGAGTAAACTTTCCCATACTACTCAGTTGTGTTATCCAGCCCCTTTGGGAACCTGCTGGGGAAACCAGATATGGGACCCACAGTGTGCTGCGTCTGGGGCTGGAAGTGGTGAAGGAGCCAGAGCCTTTGTGAGCTCACGCGGGTTGCACATGGCACCAGAGCCACTGTGTCCCTTCAGCAGTGGGCACAATGGAAGCTGCATCAAAGCCTGGCCATCACCTCCACAGTGTTAGGAGACCAAACAGTGGTGGCAGCTGGGGTTCTCTGGGGGACAAATGTCTGAGTCTTAGGCAAGGAGAGGAAACAAATCTGAGAGGTACATGAACTGGGTCTCCTACAGACCCTAACAATGTTTTCTAGATCATCCTTTTTCTTTTTTCATCTAACATACCCCTTCTTTCAAAGTCCTCAAGCAAATTTCTCTCCTATCCCAGCTAATAACTTGCCAGTAACATCATTTTCCCCTTTAAAGGATTTTCTCAAGAATCTGTCTTATTTTATGAATATACCCTAGCCTCTCAACAGCAATACTAAGAATCTGCCATCATCATTTTATAAATCAGATAATTAGAACCAGCTTTGGGGCCTGGCGGGGAACCCTGAGATTGCAATTGTGTAGTCAATTTACTCTCTCCTGTTCTTTCATATTTTTATTTTGAAGTATATAATCCCCTTATTTTTATAGACAAGAAAATTAATGCCCGGAGAGGTTAAAGGTTTGTCAAAAGTTGTTGAGCAGTACCAGAGTGGTGACCAGCACATGACTAAAACTATCGTTCTTGTCTTCCCACTCGGAGGCCTGTCCCCTGGCTTCTGCCCCCTAGACTTCCACAATGCTGTGGGGTAGGGGAGGACCAGTCAAGGGATCAGGCTGCTACTTTTACTACTTTTATCACCCTCTGTGGCCAGCCCTGTGGTTACCTTCTTCATTCTCCTGTCTTTATTGCCCCTTTCCTGCCCCCACTTCTGTCATCATAGTGTCTTCACTATTTCTTTGAAAATTCAATTTGAGCTTTTTCCCTAGTTCCCTTCTAGAACTGTCCCTGCCTCCAGTTAATTCAAATCACCAATGGCAGATTCACTTCAAAGCACAGCCTCTGTCATGGAACACTGCAGTTCCAGAACTTTGAAGGGCCACTGACTTAAGGGAAGTTGTCTCAGTAGAGTTTTTAAGGCCATTACCTGAAAGCCCACTTGACCAGTATGGCCTGGTCTTCTAATTGTACTGAAACATAAGGTTGGGAACGCTGAGCTTCACCAAATTTAATTGCTTCGATCACACTGTCATGGAATCATTTGTTAATTTGAATTAAACACAAGGAACTTGTTTACCTGAAGAAGTATGCTTTCAGCAATCTGGACAAAAAAAGTTACAGTACTCGATATCTGTAGGAAACAGTTCCCAGGGGCACTTGAGATCATTTTGGCATTTTTGCTAGTTTGGAAAACATATGAATCTGTTTTCTTTCAAGGCAATAACATATCTTGGTTGCTAACTAGCTCTGTCCTCAGAGGTCAATGTTCATCTGAGAGTGAAACTTTCAATCTCAAGACACATATGAAAAGATAAAGATTTGAGAGGAAGTTTGGAAAGGACACATTCTGATGCTTCCTCTGACTAGTTTCTCTTCATCTCATTTTCTGAATATCCAAGAGGAGATTTTCCAATAAAGTAAAATACAGTAATATAAGAAAACCAACATTTTAGATTGTTTGGTGGCACATTGATTTACCTTAAATCTCATGGGGAAAAATTGATTATCAAATAAGGCTTTTATTTCCCCTCATCCAACTCTTCAAGCCTCATCCAGCCCTTGTTTTAAGAATTGGAATTGACATTTTGGTTTCAAAGACTTACTTATAGCCAACTAACCAGTGTGTCTGGGCAGTGATTAGGCAGGTATTTGTCTACACAACAAATATCTTTAAAAAAACTGCTGATCTAAACAAAGCAAATTCAAAAATCTCCTTATTTTATCAAGCAAGCTGTTTGTGTTGAGTTTGCTGAAAAAGGTTGAAATTTTTAGCCAAGTTAAAAATTCTTGAAAGAAGAGTATATGTGTCATATAACTTTATCCTTCTCTAACTATCTGCCTATAGGAAGCTCAGCTTAAAATATCAAGCCACCTCTAGTTTCTCCAATGCTTACATTTCCCTGGAGTTAATAAGGATAACAGCAAAGCATTTTAAATTCAACACCTCTCTAGGTGTTTCTAGAACCCCAAATGGCAAGGTCCTTGGCTTCCTGAATGACTGAACTGAAGGCAGCACTGTCTTTGACATGGTTGAAGATGAATAATTTGGTTCCTACTTTCTTCCCTTGCAGGACTTAAATCAAGCAAAAGCTCAAAGGATCCCTTGAGTTTTTAAGTTTTGTTTTTACTTTTTCTTTTCTGAGTGGATGTTAGAAGACAAAAAGAGGAATCAAAGGCCCTATTTAGAGAGACAAATCATCAAAACCATTCCTTAGACAAGTCCTTTGTGATTTCTTTTCCAAATGACTTTCTCTATTCAAATGTTCTTACATTTCCCTTATAATTATTATAATTTAATATGTGTTGAGTGACCTCAATTGATAAGTAGCATGATATGAATTTCTTATTTTAGACTATTAACATTCCCACAATGTACATTAGACATATTTAAATGCCTGTGCATGGCTTTTTCAAGGGTGACAATAAAATCTTTCAGAGCTTTAATTGTTATAGAATCACACAGATTTTATAGCAGCTGGAAAAAAAAAATGTACACTTACACTTTTACAGATTATAAAAGAGTGAATCTGAGCCTCTTCCATTACTCATGCCGTTCCTTGTTTTCCAACTTTATAAGTGAAAAAGAAATAAGAATTCCAAGTCCTTTGATTCACACATGGCCTCCAAGTCAAATAAAGGTGTTGATTTAATAAGACGTGTGCTTTTCCCTTGAATCCTAGATTGCTTTGTGGATGTTGTGGTGGGATTTGATGTCTCAACTCAGCAGAAAGGGCAGGTGTTGCTCGAAGGCCAGTCTTGGATGGGAGCCTACCTTCAAGAAATCTTACGTGCCATCAGCTCCCTCAATGGGGTGAGCTGTGAGGTGGGCACAGAGACTCAGGTCAGTGTGGCTTTTCAAGTGACAAATGCCATGGAAAAGTATTCTCCCAAGTTTGAGATCTACAGTGAAAACATACTGAGCAGCTTGAAAGGTGTAACAGTTAAAGGACCATCTCTTCTCAATGCAAACCTCTTGAGTTCTCTATGGGATACATTTCAGAATAAATCGGCTGCTCGAGGAAAGGTAATGTGCTATTTTATTTGTTGGTCTATGGTTCTGATGAACTCCTCTCACTCATTTTTCTTTTCTGAATACTTTCTTAGGTGGTCCTTTTATTTTCAGATGGATTGGACGATGACATTGAAAAACTTGAACAAAAATCTGATGAACTTAGAAAGAAAGGTACTGAGCATGGGGGAGGAATGGGAAGGGAATGCTTATTAATTTTGTAACCTCAGAACTGAATTCTGGCTCTTAAATTTCCAGGCACTCAAATAACCCTGAATTTTCATTCTCTCTGCTCTGCTCTCAGCAAAGCAGATGATGAGCTAAGAACATTTTGGCATCTACTTTTTCCCTCAGGCTCTGTGCGTATGAAACAGTGTTGAATACAAAGTCCTATCTGTTGTCTCATGTTACTATATTTCTTCCTCTAACCTTTCCTGGAGAATGTCTCTTTCTTCCTTGACCCACGTTGTATAATATTGCTACTTCTTTAGTGTCCACAGAACAGTATATTTCTCCTTGACCAAGGAATGGGAGAGTTTTAACATTTTCTTTTAATGCTCTTAAAGTTTTAAGCATTGCAAGCATTGTTGGACAAGTTACTCATGTTTTGAGCTGTTTTTTTTTTGTTGTTGTTTTGGAGCTTTCTAATCAGTTCCTTCCTTCCTTCAGACCACAGATGGACCAACCATGGTGTTTATGAATTTTTAACGTTCTAGCACCAGGCTTTTGGAACCAAAGACCAATCTGATTTATTGTCAGTTCTTATTAAAACATGGATCAGTGGAAGCAAAATAGACCCATGTGTTCTGGCTTGCCTAAGAATAGAAATCCTCTCGTGTAAGTGGGTGCTATTGCAGCCCCACCCAGATCCCCTCTGCTGGCAGGCTCACCCATCCCTCCAGCTGCTGTGTTGGCTACTAACAACTCACAGCTTACTCCTTCTCTGAAGGATTGTCCTTGGCCAGTGGGAGCCCCCTCACCTGAAAGGTTGCTCCCCACCCCGGTGCTGTGGTGCAATTTATGCTCCAGAACTTCATGGGATCAAGCTAAGGCTAGGCTCCAGCTGAAGCACGGTCTTTCTCAGCAGTTTCCCCTGCCCTGTCCTGTTTCCCTCACCCCTTTCCTTCTGAGCATGCGTCCTCAATGATTGGCATGTCTCCAAATCTATATCTCAGGCTCTGTTTTTAGGGAGCCTGACCCAAGACATCTACCTCTCAGGTTAGCTAAGGGAGGCTTGACTAGACACAGTCTTTTCTGTTTGTTTCTCTCTCCTTAATATTAAACAACTTACAAAGTTCTCTGAATTTACAGCTGGAAAGTGAGGATTTTTATTTTATCTTCTATTTACTAAATTTTCCTTGTTTTTATTCTATCTAGTTTTGGCCTTTGTTCATGAACTGTAATAGAGATTACAATTAGGATTGAGAACACTACCCTAGAGTGCTTAGTTTGGGTGGGGGTGTGTATATATATATATATATTTTTTTTTTTTTTAATTTTTATTTATTTCTTTTTTTTTGAGACAGAGTCTCACTTTGTTGCCCAGGCTAGAGTGAGTGCCATGGTGTCAGCCTAGCTCACAGCAACCTCAAACTCCTGGGCTCAAGCAATCCTACTGCCTCAGCCTCACAAGTAACTGAGACTACAGGCATGCACCACTGTGCCTGGTTAATTTTTTCTATATATATATTAGTTGGCTAATTAATTTCTTTCTATTTATAGTAGAGACGGGGTCTCACTCTTGCTTAGGCTGGTTTCAAACTCCTGACCTCGAGCAATCCCCCCCGCCTCAGCCTCCCAGAGTGCTAGGATTACAGGCGTGAACCACCGCACCTGGCCTGGGTAGATTTTTGTTTGTTTGTTTATTCCAGCTTTTCTTTTGTAGGGAAAAGATGTATGTCTTGCAGACAACATTAGAGTTTCTTCCAGGAAGTGCTTTAGAATACCCAGAAATCTAAGATCAATCTTTTTTCTTCCAGCTCCCACTGAAAAACTGATAAATGTGTATCAACTTCAGAAGCTAGATTTTTTAATAACATCTTCAGAAATTTAGAATCTTAGAATGGAAGCGATAAAGAAATCATGTCCATAACGTTCTTTGAAACGTCATTATGGACATATGAAGTACCTCTAGCCTTGGCTTCTCATATGATTTCAGTTGATGCTGGGCCCTATGGTCTATTATTCATATTGGCTTGGGGCTGCCTCCTTAATTTGAGGCCTACGTAGATACCACACAGAATCTGAGGCCCCATCCCACACCTACATCTATACATGTGTACTGTGGCATCATCACTGAACAAGAGGCAAGGAGAAAAGAATGCGTGATGTTGGCTTTATAACTTGTCCATGTGGATTGGGGTTTGAATTAGTTTATTAATTTTGTATAATAGAATATAATGCCCTAGAATCTACTCAGTGATTCTTTATTCCCTCAATTTCTAAAATCTTCTTTCTTAATTCATTTTTTAGAAATTGAATACATTTTATTTAAGAGACCATATGACTCATTTATTGGATGAGTCTAAAAGGTACTTTGGAATACCCCAATACTGAGAAAAGCAATAATACATAATAGCTATATGCATATTCCCTGCAAGTCAACAATCCCATGATTCTCATAATGCTTCAATTTTTTGTATTTCCTGTAACTTATTTAAAAAATCAGATGTGAGAAGATTTTTCTCCCCTTATAAATAGACCCATTGGCATGCCTTCTCTTGATCGCTAAACTCCAACTGACGTATAGAGCGTTGCCTATCCCAGCTCACCCTACATCCTCTTCCCCACTTCCTCATTCCCATTCTAGCAAAATGACCAACTACCCTGGTTTGCTTGGGATGAGACAGGGACTTTCGACTCTGGAGCCAGCAAAGTCCCAGGCAAATCAGGACGAATAGGTCACCCTATTCTTTGGTGGTTCTTTCTTTATTCCACTTCAGCCAACCATTCTGTTCGCCTCTCCTAAAACTTGAACCTCTCCAATATGTCCTTGAAACTTTATTCCTTTCCCTCTCCTCTCATCTACGCCTCACTTCATTCAAAATTACATCATATAAACTTATTTGAGAAGGTGTTCCTGATGCTTAGCCAAGTCTTTGTACTTTTCTTTAATCTGGCCCATTGGCATCCAAATCGCATCTGAAGAATTCTTTACCCATCCGTAATAAAACTTAGGCCAATGGAGTGATTTGCATCAAGCTAAATTTGTTCAATTTTAAGACTGCTCTTTATTCCCTGGTCATATCCTTAGTACATGTTTGTTGTTAAACTAGCTTTTGTAGGTTTTGGAATCGAGCTGTCTATGTGAAAACCTAAAAATACCACTTGAACCAGTCACTTAACCTCTCCAAGCCTCAGTGTGTGCCTGTCTGTAAAATAGGACTATAATCGTATGTATCTATAGTGTTGTAATTGTATCTTACAAGTAAGATAATGCACATAAAGCACCTAACCACCTTCCAGGCACACAATTAACTATTAGCAAATGCTAGCACCATTGCTGATGTGGTTATTATTACCATCACCATTTAATGTTTTTACTTAGCAAAATAAGTCATTGGCAATCCTGTATAAGTCCCTAATGGTCTTTTTTGAAATAATCTTATCCATAAAATCCCAAAGTCTAAGAGCCACAGCTCTGGATGATTGTGTGTCATTTGTTCCTAATTTCCTGACAATAGGTCTATCACTGTCTTTTATTATAGTTCTAACTAGATTATTGATTTCTTATCAGGTCATTTAGAGTTGTGCTTGTCAATTTTAATGTGCACATAAACCAACTGGGGATTGTGTTAAAATGCAGATTCTGATTAAGTAAGTGGGGGAGGGGCCTGAGATTCTGCCTTTCTCATAAGCCCCCAGGTGATGCTGATGCTGCTGCTCCAAGGATTCTCCCTGAGTGGCAAAAATGTTTGGAATATTTACTTTCTTGATATGTGATGCTTCTGTATTTTAGCATGCTCTTAGCTAACTTTTAACTCACTATCTCACTTCAAATCATCAGGGAACTGGAAGTTGTATTACCATTTCCCCTGTTTCCAATTTATTTCATTTTAAAAAATGTAATTCCTTTCGTGCTCATATTATAGTCTCATCACTTGTCAGATTTGCATCATGCAGTTGGGGAAAGTAGACAATAAAATGAGTGTTCTTCTTGCAACTGAGGATGACAATTTAAATATATTTGCAAAAAGATTAAAGTAACTAAATCCACCTCATCTGGAGACTTGTGCACTGTGTTGGCCAGGCCTGAATGCCCTCATCACTGTTGCTCTGGACGGATCTGTCGACCCCAGTGACTCCAGTGATCTTCTCTACATTGAATTTGGGAAAGGATTTGAGTACAGGACACAGCTTACTATCGGCATGAGGGATCTTGGGAGCCGGCTGTCAAAGCAGCTGGTAAGTTATTCGGAAGAGGCTGGTGAGCTTAAATTTTCAATTACTTTGTATATAGGCTTAATATTTATACTTATGAATTTGGACTAATGATGTTTATTTGGGAGAGAAGAAAGGCTTTTCTGAATTAGTGAATAGCCTGAATAAGAGGGTGTTTGGAGGCAATGTAGTATGTCAAAGCATGTTTAACTTACATGTTTGGCAAAAAAAAAAAAAAAAAAAGGAAGAAGAAAAGAGGGGAAAAGGAAGAAAAACTATTTAAATAGCACCTACAATTCTGCCCAAATTATAGTCAATGAACATAAGTGCCAAAGAGAATCTGAGATGTGAGCATGAATGGGCTGTTCCCTCAGCAAGCCAGTTTTCACATCCCTTACAGATCCTAAGCATAACAGCTTACCCCACTGAGTATAAGTCTAGTGTTTAAGATGTGTTTCCCCTGCAATAGGGCCTATGTATGAGAGCAAATTACATTTGGAGTTCAACTAGCAAGAACAATCTTCTCTAATGCTGGAGGAAAAACTAGTGACAATAACCCTCATATGTTGTACTTTATCAGCAGTTGAAAGATTTTTAAGGGTTGTCATGACTCTGGGATTGTCACCTTATGTTCTATATGTTTAGAACCTAATGCTTATGAAAGTTGTATCTCCATCATATTTATTTCAGAAACACAAGAATTCAACCTTGAGTGGCAAAGTATTACCAAGCTAATTTCATGAATAGCTAATGATTTATAATTTGCTTAAAATTCATAAAATCTTTAATCATCATATGAGAACACGCTCCAAGAAAGGGCTAGTTCCTGCTGTTTTTCCACCTGTCGAATTTATATGTAGATATTTGAACAATTTTTTTCAGTGTAGTAATTATGTAAAAATAATTAATGTAAAAGTTTTTTGGAATTCCTTCTTATATAGGAAGATAGTGTTTATTTTACAAAATGTATTTTTTTTCTGCCTACTACTGTTTGAAATCAGTATTGGTAATTCATAGAGGGAGAAAATTATTCTTCAGAACAAACCTGTCAGTTTTTAGATATCATATAAATAGAACACTATATAAGAAACATAATCAATTTGAGAAATAGACCAATTTTAATGTTAACAGTAATAGACTTGGTGCTGTAGGATTTTGATGATCTGAAGAAAATTGATATTATCTCATGTGAAATAATAGATTCATTTTATTATTGTTTGGTTTCACATGTTTCCAGTGTTACTGTTTTCTCTGAAATTTTCAGAAAAAGAGAGAGAATTTTATAATGTCCAAAGGACATTATAATAGGAAATAATCAAAGGGAGAAAATTGCTAATTTTTCTTACAACTATATGTTGTCAAATTTTTCATTTTTGTTACACTAGAAATTTAACGGGAAATTTCACAATACAAAGATTGATTCTACTCCACCAAAGTGAAACATAACATTTACTGCAAATAGAAGTTTCCTAAAAATAATTCTGGTGGGTTGATTGTAAAAATGTAATGCAATATGCCAGCTATTCAGCAGATGACTAAGTGAGTCCAGGATGAAGTTCACTCACATTTTTAAATATATAATATGGGGGGGTTTGGCCAGAGTATAAAGAGGAATATTTTCCCCACGCCCCCATCCTCTACAGCATGTGGTTCCAAAATGTTGGACATGTAGTTGGTGTTTTTGAAATCTTATCGAAAGTGTTCTGGAAGAGTTTACCATTGGACTCAGTTCCAAGCACTGTTACACTGGGCACTGTCTAAATCCTCTAACATACTAAGATTTCACAAAATGGGGAAAGGAGAAAACAGCATGCATTCATTTCATTTGAGCAAAGCTTTTGGAGCAGAATTATAGAGAGTAATCAACAATACCATGGTCAATGTCAGGGTGGAGTGGGACAGAAACAGGCAACCCCACTAATAAATTAGTAGGTAGTGAGTTGGCCAGGGCTATACTGATACCATTTTGAGAACACAAGACATTTTTGAGTTGAGTTGGAATTTCTCAAATGGTGGAGAATGCAGATCACAGAAGAAAAGATGAGAAGCAAAAGAATGTTTCATGCATTCCCTCTAGAGCAGTCATTTTAATGGTGGTCAGGCTTCCCGAGACTGTGGTAAGAATCTGGATCACATGGCGGAGCTTGTACGGATGATTTGGAAGGCAATGCCACCAAATGTAATGTATTTCCCACCCTCTCCCAAGGTCAATGTTGCTGAAAGGACATGCTGCTGTTTGTTCTGCAAGTGCATTGGAGGAGATGGCTCAATCGGAGATTCTGGACCACCAGGGAAAAAGGTGATTTTAGTTCAGGTTTATGGTTCACTTTCCTTGAATTGTAGTATGTCTTTCAGACATCGGTTTAGGTAGAAATAGGGGTGATTTTAACTTCCAGATAGAGTCAGTAAGGTAAACAGTTTATTACACTCCTTTATTTATACATTAAAGTAGATAGTCATGGATTTTTCTTGGCATTTTAAATTGGAGGCTTTTTTTTTTAAGCTTTAATAGAATTCTCATGAAAAACAACTGTCAAGATCATTGATTATCCAGTGCTCTTACAGTGATGACAATGATACAGAAAAATCAGCTGTGATGGCTCATGTTGAATAATGAAAACCTCCTTAATACCATTAGTCCATCTTGGCATTCATTTTTAATGATAGCAGTCATTAAAATCAAGTAGGAAATAGTTTGTGTAGTCTGCTGAAAATCACACTAGATCAGATCAATCTCCCATAACAAAAGAAGTTAATATGTTTTATTTAGTTTTAGCCAGGTCAAGTATTTTCACAGATACATGCCCCCAAACAGGCCAATTATTAAAAAATATTAATAGTAACTAACAACATTGATCTATATATATCCTAACCAAGAATAGCTTATGTACCCTTATGTAAAAAAATTTTTTTTTGAACTTTAAGATATATTCAAATATGTATAAGTACACTGTGGATATGTTAAATAATGATTTCAATACTCTTGTTTACATATGTGTTTGATTTTTGAACAATTTTGTAGATAGCAACTATAATTCCCAAATCACCAGGACTGTGTCTCTGAATAAATTTTTTGGAGCAATTATTTCCTGAATGCTTCAGCTTCATGTCAAGAGAAGGGTAGATTAAAAAAAAAACCAAAAACAAAAAAAAAAAAACAGGCTTCAGAAAGAATGGAAAGAAATGTGTGTGGTCTCTTTCTACGTGTAGCATAAATCCTTAAAAAAGAGATTTTTTTAATGAAAAGAGCATAATTCTAGTCTGTCAGGGGCAACTACAGCTGTGTTCGCTTGAATGTTTGTCTCGGAAAAAAACTCCAGTACTATATATATACCCAGAGAGAGTTACAAACAACATTATTGTTGCACATGCATGTACACCCTTGAGTTATCTGGAGACTTGCCACAAAATTCCATTTTTTTTATGTATATAAAGGCAGCCTAGGTTGGGGAGGAAAGACTATTTTTTTCAAGCTCTTACTTATTGCACATGAAGTAAAACTGTAAAGCTGAAGAATTTTGTTAACCTTTGGGGTTTGGTCAATGGATGCTAATGTTTTCTCCCGTGTCTTATTTCCAGGGATCCCCAGGTTTTAAAGGCAGCGAAGGTTACCTGGGAGAGGAGGGCATTGCTGTAAGTCAAGGCTTTGTTTACCTTCATTTATCTACAGTATGAAACACCTTGAGTCAATTCAGAGGAAAGCAAGGAAGTTCGAATTCTAAAGACTCATGTGCAAAACCTAACCTTTGCTTCTGGTGGTCAGCGGGGGTTTATTAACCAACTGTCTCCTCTTTGACTCTCTACCAACATTGCACGATGAATTCAATGCAAGAGTTATCTTCTTCACTAGGGGAGTTGAATCACTGCCGTATCCCCTGTCCTGGAGCATTTTGCAAAAGTAAACCCACTTGCCGCATTGTTTATCAAGGACCTCACTCTTTCTTGTATTCATCCATCCATCCTTCCTTCCATCCAAACGTTTCCTTAACAATTAGGTATTAAACATCTTACCATTGACCACATTTTTTGTCCAAGGCCTTACTCATTAATGCACTAATTACTTTATTCATTTAACAAATATATATCAAATATCTTATGCCCCAGGCATAATGCTAGGCCCCAGAAATAAGAAAAATAAATAAAAGGAAAAATATGGTTTCTACCTCAGGAAACTTCCAGACTAGTGGAAAGGCAATGAGACAAGTGTGGTTCCAGTTGTCATACACAAGGGCTATACTAGAAGTATGCAGAAGTACAGAGGAGTGTGGCAGAAAAAAAATACTTAACAGCCTTAGGTAATAGCCTTGGCTGAAGTTGGGGCTTGAGAGGGGAAGGCTGCAAACAAGGGGAGATGCTTGGGCAGACACTTGAAGGACAGTAGGATTTTCTGCAGGCAGAGGTTATGGGAAGGAACATTCTACTACAGAGGAAACAGCATATTCGAGGGCATTTAACTGAGCCAGAGAATTGCATGTTTGCAAAATAGCACATGGTCAACATGGCAGGAACCCAGGACACTGCAGGAGGAGATTATATATGGGAATAAGACCTAGGCTATTGGTAGTCTTGAATACCCTGCAGAAAATTTGGATTGTATCTTCTAGTTGATGGGAAGTCACTGAATGGTGTTGAGCACAGCAGTAAAAATGATGGGGGTGTTTAGAAAACATGTGCAGGCTACATTTTGCATGATGATAAAGTAGGGTTATAGGTAAAATCTTGTAGTCACAGGTGCAAGACAAAGAGGTCTTAATCTGGTCTTGGGATAGTATGACTAGATTGAAAGGATGTGCTAATAACTCAGTGACCACTTGGAGAGAGAGGAGCCCCACCCGGGCAATATGCAAGTGGGATCCAAAGCAAAAGGCTGTCATCAGGGTAGCTCTGATTTATTTCCACTCTTAGTTTTTATAAGTATGAATTCTGGATTATAAACCATGAGCAGTCACACATTTTTTCCAATAAAAAACTTGTCAAGTTTCCAAGACAGATCCCAAAAAAAGCTCATCTGGATGTGTGTGCTGTTTCCCAGGGAGACAGAGGAGCCCCTGGACCCGTGGGAGAGCAAGGTACTAAGGGATGCCGTGGAGCCAAAGGTCCTAAGGTAAGAGTTGCATGAGACATTGCAAAGTCCTCCCAACATTAATTCTGTTGTCCTCTGCTAACTACTACTGTCCTTTCTATTTTCAGGGAAGCAGGGGACTAAGTGGACAGGAGGTACAGTACCAGGCCACATTCATTTATCTGCCTGTCTGTCATCTAGAAATATTCTTTTGAGATTATTGAACCATAAATTATCCAACTGAAGTTTATATTGACCTTCCTTTTTCATTACCAGCCATTTCATTTTGTTTATTCCTATTCTTTATTGAGGGTGATGTATATTATTTGTTATAGTTTCTATTACTGAGTAAGCTTTGAATGTTACCCGGGTACAGCCTAACAAAGAGGCTGTACGTGAAACACAAAATTAGACTGTTTCTATTCTGTATCTGACCTCTTTCCACACGCATGTGATGTACTCTATTCTAACCCCATCTGTCCTTTTCAGGGAGAAGTTGGGGAAATTGGAATTGATGGATTAAATGGAGAACAGGTACCTTGTACCATACTGACCCTTCTGGGCTATTTCCCATTACAAAAATGGGACTTTGAAGGGTTTTTTTTTTCCCTGTTTCTTTTAGGGTGACATTGGTTTTCCTGGAAGAAAAGGAGAAAAGGGTGATGAGGGATCCCAGGTAGGGAGTCAATCAAAGGACAACATAAAAACTGTACTGGGAATTAAAGTATATTAATGAAGTAGAACACCTACCCTGGATGTATCAGTCTGCCATTGCTACAGAATTGTTTTGTGACAAATACTCACAAAACCTCAATCACAGAACAAATACAACAACACACACTTATTGCTTATGTGTCTGAGGGGTTCCATCCAGGCTGGGCATGGCTACCGTGGCTCAGGTGTCTGTAGGTTGGCCCAGGACTTTGCTCCATGTGTCTCTTATCCTCCTGTGACCAGGAGCTAACCTGGCCATGTTGGCCATGACCTCTTCATAGCCTTGGCAGAAGCATAAGGGAGCAAGTGGAAACATATGAAGCCTCGTTTGGGAACTCTCACAGCAACACTTTAATTTCTTTCTCTTGGCCAAATCAAGTCATGTGGCCAAATAGGGGAAGGGAATCTCGCCCACCATGATTGGAAGTCACCGCAGTTACCTGGCAAAGGACACAGAAACGGGGAGGAGTGAAGGGCTGTGGCCATTAATGACAAGCAGCTACCACATGAAGAACAGAAGTAGGGTGTTGACAAGGGTCTGTGGTGCAGGGCAGCACCTTGAGGAGTGCATGCCACTCATTCCTGTCTGGAATAGATACATACACAACAGCATCCATGCTTCCTTCATCTTCTTTAGAGAGAGAGCAGTTGAGTCAGAAACCCTCTTTCTAACTGATGCAGGCATCTTGGGCGAATTGCATATCTTTCTGAATCTCTCCTGCCTTATATGAGAAAGGTAATGAACAATTCCTGCTTCACAGAATAGTTGTAAAAAGGGAACAAGACAACAGATATATCTGGAACACAGAGTTAGTTTGCCACTGTGGCAAATAATTGAGTTCGTGATTAAATTATTCATATGATGCTTGAAACTGATTTTTTTATTGTTCCTCTTTCCAGTTTAAAAGTAACCTTAGTAGAAAAATATTCATAATGCGCTAAAATAAAAAATAAAGATAAAATAAAAAAATTTTTAAAAAAGTAAAAAAAAAATTTATTCACACCAGGGAGGAGGTAATCCCTTTGCTTTTATTAATTTTATTTAAAGGTCTTGCCTTTGATGATTGAAATAAAAAAAATAAATAAAAGTCTTGCCTTGTTCTTACTCTGATTTGTATCAATTTAAGGGAAGCCCAGGAAAGAGAGGGACTCCTGGTGACCGTGGAGCAAAGGGCCTGCAAGGAGATCCTGTAAGTGCCTGGGCTGCTTGGGCTGCATGAACGGGAGTCAGGGCTCGGTTCCCATCTGCACATGAGGTATTTACATTATAATGTACTACACTGGCAATCCTGAGTTTGAAACACCCCTTAAGTCTCCAAAACTTTAATGAATTAAGACTGAGATTTCTTTTTAAGTGTTTATTGAACTGTAACATACATCAGAAAAGTACACAGATTATGAGTGCTCAGCTTGACCACTCTGAATACACCTGTGTAGTCGCCCAGGTAAAGAAATAGAATGTTACCAGCATCCCAGAATCCCCCTTCATGCCCACACCAGTCACAACCCAATCCCCAACCAAGGTAATCACTATCCTAGCAACACAAATCAGGTTGACCTGTTTTTGACCTTTGTCTAAATGGAATCATACAGTGTCTAGTCTTCTCTTTCTGGGTGCTTTTGCTCAGCTTTATGCTTATGAGATTCGTCCATGCTATTGATTCAGTCTCATGGCTGTATAGTATTTCATTGTGTGAATGTACCATGATTTATTTATCCATTCTATTGATAGATACTTGGGGTGTTCCTGGTTTTTGTTGGTATAAATAGTGCTGCTGTGAATATTCTCCTACATATCTTTTGGTGCATTTTTATCTACAATTCTACTGGGTCTATACTTTAGGAGTATAATTTCTAGATCATAACATGCATGGCTATACTCAGCTTAAGTCTTTATACCCAAAGAGTTTTTTGAAAAATGTTTATATCGGTTTACACTCCCATCAGCAATGTACCAGCACAGTATACTATATTCATCCATTGGAATGGCTTAAATTTATAAAAACTAACATTACTAAATGCTAATGAGACTATAGGGCAACTGGGGATCTCTGGGAATTTTTAACATATCCTCCCGAGGATATGATGGTTTGATCCATGAAAAAACCTGGTGCAATATATATTGACAAATGCAAATGTTAGATATACATTGATAACTTCATTTAAAAAGCTGAGGAATTTGCACTTGAAGACAGCACTGTTTACTAAGTGACATCTTCTGATAATAGTCTGGTGACCTGAGAGTTAAGTATCTAATTTAGAACCAAAAAACTACCCACGGATATAAGGATAATTAAGAAAATACATAATACTTTAAATACAAAGACATTTCAGTCATCTATGTATGATCAAAAATTTATTCGGGGTATTGCTATACAATTTCCATTGACTTTCATCAGAATTTTTCCTAAATTGTCTGCTATAGAGCATGTGATTATCTAACATATTTAAAAGAATCTGAATGATGTAAAAGGGTTTTTATTTTAAAATGTCCTATGAATTCAATATGGCTGAAAATCCAGCCCACTAGAGCTTCTCTGTAAAGTGCTGTTTGTCACTACACTGACTTTAAATGGTTTTTCAGTATATAGCAATTCTTCCCACCATTTGGAAACATACATCTCAACTCTAAGACACTTCTTTGTGCTTTATTACATGTGGTGTTGTGGGTTACTATTTCAAGAAAAATTCAGGCGAACAAGATCAATAGAATAGATAGATTACACACACAATCAGATTCATAGGATTCATAGGAATGCATGCAAATGGCACACATATCTGAAATTCTAGCTTATTTAGATAGAATTTCTGATCACATGACAGCTCATTTGTCTATTTGGAATTTTCCATCTTGACTGGGAGATTTTTTAAAATGTAATGTTGAGAGGAAATTGAATTAAATTATTATCTGATCTATAGAGGGTAGAAAGGTTTATCATTGACAACATATCATTATTGGGAAACCATTTCTCATCATAAATGTGTTAGATGATGTTCTTTTGTTCAGTTGTATCAATAGAAAAAGACTAAATCAGTTCATATTCACATTGACCAAACAACTTGTCCACATAAAATTTGGCTTCTGTTCTGTAAAATATTCCTAGTGTATGATTCTTTTCATGGTATCTCTTCAAATAGTTTATAATTGAACTATAATAAGGGGCTTATATGAGCAATGGAATAAAATTCTGGATTTTACATAAACTTCCTTTTCCTCATTCAGCTTTTTCACCAAAATACAATTTTATAATATTATAATTCAGATGCACCCTTCTTGGAGACTTGAAGAGACAAATATTTAAACTTAAGGGGGGAAAAATAAAATGTATAAAATAATATTTGGCTTTGGAAAGGTGGAGGAAAGAAGTAGTTTTTCGCATACATTTTAGTAATATCAGTTATATAAAATAAATTCCAAGCCCATCTTTTTCACCCCATTAGCTTATAAGCTCTGTAAGTACAAAACTATGTTTTAAAAGCTTAGTAAGTATCTAGAACAAAGCTACATCTCTGTTGGTGATCGCAAATTAGTTATTGATTGATGAAGGTAATCTGGGCTGCTATCAGCCCAGCAGCCCCACTGCTGGTACTCAGCAGGACTGGATAATTGTTTTCCCCTCTCAATTTATTGGAGCATTGACAGTATTGACTGGCTTAATTGATTATCTCAGCATCATGGAGACACAGCTCTGTTGGTGGTCCTAACTACCAAAGTTAGAAAGCTTTCAGTTTGACATGCCCAAGCGTAATATCCCACAACGTGTGCCTGTGTTCAGTGAGTTCCCACTGGAACATATCCATTAATATTGAGAAAAACTCAAGATTCAAGGATTTCCTGGAAACCGGGAAAGTAGAGGTGAACATATAGGGTTATTGTATTGGAGCATGCATGTGTCCAGGAAGAGAAAGAGGGTCAGGAGAGCAGATAGAGTCTTCAGCTTTGTTCAGTGTGCTCACATTATTATGGTGTAGAACCCATTACAAAACACTTGCCTTCTCCCAAGGGTAGGGGAGAGTAAAATTTACCGATTCTCAAGCATAAATTTGCCCAGGTTCCAAGAAACAAGAGGAAAGTTAAGAGAAGGGGTGGCAGTAACAAGAAGGAGGGAACCTCCTGTCAACTTGAAAATTACGAGATCTATAAATTTGGAGAGGAGAAATTCATTTCGTATAAAGGGTTGCAACCTGCAGGCTGGGAACAGAGTGTCTGGCTGAGACCAAAAGCAGGCGCCTCAGAGGAGGAAGGGTGGAATAGGAATTTTATGCTGAATGGTTGAGTAAACATGTGTGTATAACAGGTTATAGGAGGGGCTATGAATATTCATGAAGGGGGGGTCACATGCACGTGTAGTAATCTCACATACATGCTATGTTCACTTTGGAGTGAAAATTTAAACATTAAAATGCAGTAAAATCAGGCTCTACTTGTCAAAAGGTGAAACTCAGGACACAAAGACCCTTTGTACTCAGCCTCTGTAAACTGACCAGCACCAGTCTATGGTCAGTGGTAATTATTTGCGAAGGAATATGTTGTGAAACTGATCAGCTGTTATGTTGAAACTACAAAAGGGGAGCAGGGGTTTGTCCCTGGCATCAAGTGACTGGTTGAAGTCAATAAGAAGAAGAGTCTAACCAATCCCCTTGTCCTGTCATGGCCAGGAAACAGTTTTTAAAGTTTTCTAGGGTCTCCTTTGGCCAAGAGGGGTCTGTTCAGTCTCTTGGGGTCTTAGGATTTTATTCTTACTCCACACTTCAAACCCAGGATAAGAGGAGTTGTGCACACACCCTTGCTTCCCTTGGCTGTGCCATCTGTGGTGAGCTCCTTGCTTTCTCCCCACACACTCACTTTAGCTCTCAGTTCTCTCTCTGATAATGTCAAGCATAGGAGGAAAAGAAAACACTTATAAGCCATTTGTAATTTTAACCTATTTCTGCTTTCCACCTGGGTTGGACGTCTCTTGTCAACGTTTTGAGGGATAACTAAATGACTCATACATAAGTTACATTTTTAAGGAGAAATATTCAAATCTATTAATTTTCATCTTTATTTTCTGTTTTTTAGGGAGTCCCCGGATTTGATAATAGCATAGAAGGACCCAAGGGCTTGAAGGGAGAACGTGGAAGACAAGTAATTATGTGGGCATTTGAGAGTCAGCTTGTAAAATGACATTGCTCCAACAGTGAGGCTGAAGTTCTTAATGATAGAATATGAAATACCTTATAGAAAAAATGTGGAATCAGAGTGTATATACTTGGTACAGGGAAACTATTTGCAAGAGCAAAAAGATCTTTACTACTGCCCATCTGCCACTCTGGGATTTGAGACACATTCTGTAAATTTGGAGTGACTTGCTTCACCAAGCCATACCCTTGATGTCTTCATTCATGAATAAAAGCATCAGAACCCTAACCTAAAATGTAGGGCTAGGTGATAGAAAAAACTATTCTAGCAAAAGAGTTGTTGGCCTTCCCAGTATCCAGAAGACATTTAACTTGAAAAGATATTATTAATAGCACCTGATAAAAAGAATAAGACATAGTAGATCTGTATGGCTCATACCATCAAGAAAAGTCTCTTATGATTAATCTCATGAAAATCTCACAAGTCACAATAAGGTCATCTAAACTTATTTTTCAGGATTTTAAAAAAATGTTAATAGTTATCTAGAAAATGTGTGTCTCTGGATCTTCTTGATGAGAAAGTTCCCTTGATGACTCTATCCAAGGAAGAAGTATGATATGGTGGAAAGGACTCTGCTTTGGAGACAGGCCTAGGTCCTGGCTCATGCCCTGTCCCTTAGCAGCTCTGTGGCTCTGAGTGGCTTTCTATAAACCTCGATTTTCTCATCTGCAAAATAGGGCAAATGGCCTGCTTTAGAAGGTTATGGTGGTAATTTAATGATTGACTCTGCCACATCATAACCTATTCCATACTTCTGTATCTTAGGAAGACTTGTGCATATTATGAGATTTTATTTACAGCATGGTGTTATCTAGAAAGGTTAACCAAACAGAACAAGACATCCAAAGGTAGAAATCCAAACCAGTAGCACCACACCTAACATAGTATGCTTCAGTTATCCACGCTGTGGTGACACAGTAGGGACAGTTTGTGTACTCTGAGACATGTTCCCCAAACTCAAGTTTAGACGGTGGTGGTGAACAGATGAAGGAAATCATGACCATAGCATTTAGTCCTGTTGTCCCTCATTACCCGCATAGAGATGTGATTTACAATCAGTGGAAGTCAATGCCGTATTCCACAGGGCTCACTGGTATGAGCCCATCTATCCTCCCTCTAGTACAAGCTGAGGTTAAAGGGGAAGTACGTCCATGCAGTGTAATTACCATCATGCATCTTTCTGTTCCTTTGACAGGGTAGAAGAGGCTGGCCAGGCCCTCCCGGAACACCAGGCTCCAGAAGAAAGACAGTAAGAGCCCTTCTAGACAAAGAGACCCACTGCTCTGGTAGCTTCTGTTGTGATGAAAATGGCTGGTTGTAAGGAGTGGGTGGAGTGGTTCTGCTGGGGCTCGCTCCCCTTGGGGAAACTGAGGACCAGTTTCTGAGTCTCAGAATAGGGCTGGCAAAGGACTTGGGAAATAACAAAAATAACAGAATTTCTATGTTTGCTTGGAAAAGCACAGAGATTATAAAAGACAATCATACAGACTGGATCCAAAAAAATAGAAAGAAAGTAAAAATTAATAATAATTTTAAAAAGAGATAACTTTAATGAAATACACTTAAGTGTCTGCATTAGGGTCTAAATTCAACCTGTCATGTCTCATTTACAAGGTTTTTCTTTCCATTCTTTAGTTATCCAGCTTTCTCTAATTTTTTCTACGCCCCCAACCCAAATAGAAAATGCTTTAAAATTAAGCACAAATAAAAACTAGCTTAGTATATTGCACTAATTACTCATTGTATTTTCTGAGCAGAAGTTGCTAGAAACACCTATTATACTCCATGAAGAAAATGCTTTTGTATCTTGGCGTATACCCATGTTCTTTGCAAGGCAGAGAAAATGGAAATAAGAGGAGTAATTAAGTTGAAAATGTGCAGAACTTGATTGCTGGAAAAGTGCTTTAATAATGCTATTTTAATGCATATAAAGATAAAGAAATACATTTGCTATTCATTTCACTTTCTAAAAGGGTGTAGCCAGCTTACATACCCCTGGAAAATATTTTCAACTTAAAGAATACCATCCAGGAAATGCTGGCATGTGAGGATGTACTTTTACTGTTTCATAACCTCTAGAGGCTAACACAGTATCACTGTGTATTATTTAAACCACTCCACACCTAAGAAATATAGCCTCCATCTGTGGTTATAGATTCAACTATGTCATTCAGAAATAAAAGTAGGATGTTTAATTAAAGATGACAGAGTAAAGTTTTTTCACACTATAATTCTTTTGTGCAACTCATCAAAAACAACAAAAGAAATTAAAAATAGAGAAAGAATAAGCACAGCTTCAAGCCACAAATGATGACAAATACTGTCCAAACATTTCTACCTCTGAACCATAATGAGTAAGGATTTAGAGAACTGACACAAATCATCTCAGACTCAAGCAGGGATCAGATTTCTCTAAAAATAACTGCCATAGTCCTAAAATGGCTGGTGAAAAAAATTCAGGGGTGCTGTAAATTTTGAGAGGAGCAGGGAATATACCTATTGAAACACAGTTCAACAGAAGAGGCAGAATGAATGAGAAACCAAAAACATTCGATTGGTCAACTAGAGACCAAGGCCATAGAGGTTGCAAACAATGAGAGAAGCAACAGTGACTATCAAAACACAGAGAAATTATGACGTAAGGGGGACTTTGTGTGAGTTCCATGAATCTCTTAAATGTCAAAAGTAGGAAGATAGATCCCTAAGGTAAAAGAAATAATTCATTTATTTAAGACAACATATCTATGTCAAAACTACCAGCCCAGCTCCAGCTACACTTCTCCATTAGTCCTTCAATAAATAGGTGGGTCCTATTCAAGGACAGTTAATGATCAGAATTTTTAACCTTTGTTATTAATTACATGATTAATCAGGACCTATGTGTAGAAGCTTCAAGAGAGAGAACAACCATGAGCAAAGGGGGGCAATTTCTCTTCTCCTCACTAGAAGAGAAATTATTTAAGGAAAAATTTGAATTCTGGCAAAATAACTCTTCAATGTCTCCAAAAAAATGAAGAGGACATTATTCTTTTAAAAAGCTCAAAGAATTGGCAAGACAATAGAAAGTAAAGCAAGCTCATAGTGCTTGAGGAGCAATGTGAGGAAAAACTATAGAGATGTAAGATATGTTACCATGTGACATTTCTAGTTCTGTTTTATTTTTCTCCTATTCAAGTAAAATTAAATGTAGTATTTTAATTTTAAAATAGCTTGGACAGTATGATCCCTTTTTAATCAAAACTACCACTATTTAGCATTCTATCTGTAAGAATGCATAAAAAGATGTCAGGAATCATGATTACCAAATGTTAATGGCAGTTATTTCTAGATGGAGGATTTGGAGTGATTTTTAAATTTTTATCCTGTATATATTTTCTGCATTCAAATATTTAAATATCAGCATATATCATTCTTACAATAAAGTCATTATTCTTTCAGAAAGAAGAAAAATCTGTAGTGTTCACTGAAAACCTCTAAAATGCAGGTAGATGAGCATGGAGGTGCACTTAGGTTCTGCGGAGTGGATAAGTGGTTGGAAGACAGCCAGTGGTAGGATACGGCATGAAGGAAGGTGAACAGCAGGTGACCAAATCTGACCTTTATGCATTCGACAGACGTTTATGCAAAATCTACAATGTACCAGATACTCTACTAACTGCTAGAACTATAATACAAACTCAAATAAGACATCATCTTTTCTCTCAAGAAACTTAGGAAAACATGTTGTAGAGCAACCTCAGCACCATTGGCATTTAGATTAAACCATTCTTTGTTGTGGGGGCTGTCTTGTGCATTGTAGGATGCACATCCTACATCATCCCTGGCTTCTACCCACTGGGTGCCAGTTGCACCCCCAACTTGTGACAATGGAAAATGTCTCCAGACTTTTCTAAATGTTCCCTAGGGAAGGAGGGTGCTAAATCCCCCTCTCCTATTGACAGCCCCTGTTGTAGAGGGAGACAGACCTGCAGGGTTAGTAGGCTGTTATAAGTGCTGTGTCAGGAGACTAAAATGGGTTGGGGAAGAGGGAGGCAAGGAGGAAGGATCAGGGCTGGAAAGCAGCAGTGCGGGGGGCGGGGGGAGATGGAGGAGATTATTGGGGTAGGTTGGCTGTTTCTGAGCCAAACTTTGCTGAGAATTAAAACAGATTCTTGTTCCAGGGTTAATGAGAAGCAACTGTAGCCTCAAACCAAAGCACAGTCTCCATTCCTATTCAGTCCAGAGGGCTGTTAGTTATGCTTTGCTCTTTTCATCCATCTTGGCATTACTTCAGAGGTATCCTAAAGTGCTCTAGGACAATCATGCATCGTTGTGATTGTTTGCCGTTAAGACTTACTGTTAATGTGATGATTTATAATTAAGAATGTCCTGCTTTTTCACTGGTGATTCTGTCCCATATCAATCCACACCTATCCAGGAAATTCAGTGCCCTGGTAAACAACCAAAAAGCCGGGCTATGGGGGACCAAGGGACTGAATACCCTGTTGTGGGTCATGGTCCTCTCCGATCTTTTTGGGGAGATTTACTTTCTTGATGTGCCCACTCACATTCTCTTTAAAGGTAAGTCAGATCATCTAGATGTGTTAGCCAGACATCTGCAAGTCCTTGGGCAAGTCAATAATACATTTTAGGATTTCATCTTTCCCATATAAAACCTTTGAAAATTTTAGGCAAAATTGCAAAATCATCTCCCCTATTTCCTTTTTTTCATTCTGTCTTTCACATCTACCCAAGGTGTCTCTCCCATGACTTTCATTTTGGGCTTTTAAATGCCAAGTAGCCATTAACAAAGGTGCTAGGTGATTACTTCTGAAGATGTTTCCATTATTGCGTGAATGGTAGATTAAAGTCTGTTTCATCCATTAGGTTCATAAACTCCTGACAAGGGACAGGAGTTGGGTTTTGCTCGTCACCACCCTGTCCAGCTCCTCGAAGGAAACACAATAAATATGTGTTGCAATAATTCATTTTCATCAAGCCCTTTCAAAATCAAACCTAAGGACTTAAAGGAATAAATGTTTATTGATGATGTTTCAAACGTTGTGACAGTAAACCAGAGAAAGGCTTTTGAATGGGGAAGTATATATATGCCACATCCCTTAAATCCTATCACAGTGGAAGCTCTTTGTTTTGCCTGAATATTAAGTTCCATTCAGTTCTTCCTACTACAACCGGATGTATCTATCCAAAGCCATGGCCTGACCATGCACATTTCCTACTCCAAGAACCCCAGTGGCTTCTGCTAAATGTTGTAGGAACTCGTCAGCCTAGTGTTGTCAGTCTAGAAACCTTGCTACTTCCCTCTCATCTCACATTTTTGACGCAGATGGCCTTATTGTTGCTAGCAAATAAATACACATTCTGTTTTCCTGCCTCTACTTCATTACTGAGGCTGTACCCTCTGCTGGAAAGGCTTTATATATCCTCTGCCTGTAAAACTTCTACCCATCCTTTGAAACCCATCTCAAAGACCTCTTCCTCCAGGAAGATTATTCTGATTTGACCAAGTGGATATGATCGCTTTCTTTAAAACTAGTATCTCTGTCTTTGCCTTTCTTGTGGCATTTGCCATACTCTACCTTGTAAATATTTGTAATGTTTATATGCTCCTCCAAAACCCACATAATGGGGGTCCCCTGAGGCCCAAGACTGTGTGTGCATTTGTGTGTCTCACCTTTATGCTGCCACAGTTCCCATTCAGTATGCTTTGTGGGTATATAGTTTTCTGAATAAAACTGAAATAAATTGAATCAGAACAGACAGAGCCTTGTGCTAAAGAAGAGGAAACAAATCCTTTTTCCCCCTCTGATAGAGGATTTAGACTTTCATCTCAAGATGCCTCATCAGTGTTTTAAAGAAATAAGCCTCTATTTCCCCAAATACATAGTCTGTTTCTTACATAACAATAGATTTTTTTAAATTTTTTTTAACAATAGATTTTGATTGAAATACGATTAGCAGAATTTAAAGTTTGAATACTGGCCTCTCAAACCGTCTAAAGTAAATTTCCATCAAGACAATGTTGTCTGATTTTATTGAATTTCGCAAATCCTGTGTTTTAATCTTGCTATCATCTTACTGAGTGATCCTAAATGAGACAACAAAATGTCGTTGTCTTTTGGTTCCCAGATCTATGAACTATTGATCTGGAATATACCTAGACTCTACACTAACATATGAGAGTAGCAGAAAAATCCCCTTGATTGTATAGCACCATTATTTTGATTGGATATTTTATTAACATACTGAACTGAGTAACTTTTGAATGCTTGAGGCAATTCTTTTATTTCTGATAGATATGCATATTATTTGGCTTTTTAAAAATAAAATTAGTTTGGCTATCTTTAATTTCTGAACTTAATCTACAATAAAGTTCATGGAGTCAATTCTTCTAGTTTTTCCTCTGGCCTCCTGGCTTTTGGCTAGTCCACTTCTGATTTCTGACTTACATGGTAGTTCTGGGGGAAAATTGAAAGAAATAAAATGCAAATCAGTCAATTTTGCAGCTTGTGAACAGCTCTAGTAAAAGTTTAGTGAAGAATTTATTATTGACTACAATCTACTCTCATAAGTACCTGCAGATTTTCAATTGTCTATTAATTCAGTTGTCAATTATTTCAAGGAGATAAATATTCAATTGTCCTGGATTAGAAATATAGAATTGACAACATTTTGCTTTCATGGTACAATGGATAGTTAAATGCTTTGAGCACTATGTGGGAACTATTATTTATATCAGTGCCTTAAGGTATCCACTACTAATTTAAATCAAATATAAAAAGCATTTCTGAATTAATGGTATCCACCTTTTCCTTCTATTTTAGGCTGCTCATGGCCAAAGGGGACAAACAGGTCCACAGGTACAGTGAGTTTTTTCCCCTAAACGCCAAATGATAAATATTCTGTGTTCAATCAAGGAACCGGAATAAAGGTGCTATAAAGTCTCTTCCAAGCTTAAACTTACTTTGCTTTTTGATGACATTGATTATGGAATAAAATTTTGTAAAAAATTTAGGCTACAATTTTAAGAATTCAGATCTTAAAAGGAAAATTTCCCAACTTTAATCAAAAACCATAAAACTGCCCCCCTCGGCACTCTGGGAGGCCGAGGGGGGCGGATTGCTTGAGGTCAGGAGTTCAAGACTAGCCTGAGAAAAGAGCAAGACCCCGTCTCTAAATAGAAAGAAATTAATTGTCCAACTAATATATATAGAAAAAATTAGCCAGGCATGGTGGCACATGCCTGTAGTCCCAGCTACTTGGGAGGCTGAGGCAGTAGGATTGTTTGAGCCCAGGAGTTTGAGGTTGCTGTGAGCTAGGCTGACACCACGGCACTCACTCTAGCCTGGGCAACAAAGCAAGACTCTGTCTCAGAAAAAAAAAAAGAAAAAAAGAAAAAGAAAAAAGAACAAATTGGATATTCTGAATATTTTGTTCAAAAAGTTGATTAAACCAAAAACCATGTTCTATCTGCTTTGCACATGTTCATGATACATTATACATGCTTCATGAACTTACAATATTTATGAAAGAGCAGCGTGACTTAAAATTTTATAAAACACACATCCTCAGATTAAAAATACAATGAGTATAAATAATCCATTCTCAATGACAACATGATGAAAAAGAATATTAAAGATAAAAATCATCTTAAATATGACCAAAGAGAAAAGACAGTTTTACTCATGAAAAGAATGACAAATTAGATTTCAGCAGACCTCTGTTCAATAATAATACATACCCAAAAACAGAGTAATAACTGTTAAATTAGAATTTTATGCCTAGCTAAACTTGTGAGTGAATGTAAAATACACACTTTTAAACAAAGAATTTATCATCCACAGACATCACCCACACGCACACATTCTTTGTCTTGGTCCAGTCCTGCTGATATAATGAAATACTTTAAACTGCTTAACTTATAAAGAACAGAATTTTATATCTTAGTTTTAGAGGCTAGGAAGTCCAAGAGCAAGACACCAACAGATTTAGTGTCTGGTGAAAATTTGCTCTCTGCTCCAGAAATGGTGAAAGGGGCTAAAAGCTTCCTTGAGCATCTCTATAAAGATACTAATCCCATTCAAGAGGGCAGATCTTTCATGACCTAATCACCTCCTGAAGGCTCCACCTCTTATTACTATTGCATGGGGGATTACATTTCAACATTAATTTTGAAGGAACACACATATGCAGCCTATTGCACAATTAAAGATTAGACTTCAACAAAAGGAGAATAAACTCAGACAAATGGCATGATATAAATGAAATGAGATTGGAGACAGAGGTATTAAGAAATTTCTTCTTTCTGAGTTCTAGGAAAAATTATTAGTAAGGGACATTTAATCATATCTAACTACATAACAACTGATATATAAACCTAGGCTATTTTAATAGTTGCATACATTAAACATTCTTAATTCTTTCTGTTTTGGGAATTCTTACTGTGACAGAATCCAAGAACAATGTGGAGAGAATGCTCAGCTTTTGATCCCTAGATACTTAACTTACTTTAATGTAAATATAATGCTAGAAGGTACCTCAAGATGTTTGAAGAAAATGTGAAATATATTATTAGTTTTTAGGCTGTATATCCAAGTTAAAGATAATGCAAACTTTATAGAGCCTGGGCCTGGTGGCTCAAGCCTATAATCCCAGCACTTTGGGAGGCTGTGGCAGGAGCTTGCTTTAACACAGGAGTTTAAGAGCAGCCTGGGCAACATAGCAAAACCCTGTCTGCACAACAAATAAAAAATTGGTGGATGTGGTGGCGCATGCCTGTAGTCCCAGCTACTTAGGAGGCTGAGGCAGAAGGATTGCTTGAGCCGAGGACTTTGGGTTTACAGTGAGCTGTGATCATACCTCTGTACTCCAGCTGGTGAGACAGAGTGAGACCCTGTTTCTAAAAAAAAAAAAAAAGGAGGGGGTGTATGTATGTGCCTGTGCATACATGACTATATAAAAAGACTGGAAGGAAATAGACCAACATACCAACTGTGGTTATCTCTGCTTGATGAGATTATAGATTTTGTATTTGCCTTCATTTTTCACATTTTTTGCAAAAATCCTCCATTGCTTACTATATACTCAAATTTTAAAAAAAGAAAAAAAACAAACAAAAATCCTCCATTGCCATTATGACTCAAAAAATATAATCTTGCACATAAATGATTCAAAATTATTAAAAATCAGTGTTAACAGGTTGATTCTTTCTCACAGGGAAACACAGGCATTCCAGGCCCAGATGGACTTGAAGGCTCACTGGGACTTAAGGGCCCTCAGGTACGTACATATCAAGACCAATGAGGGTGTGAGAACTTACAGGAGAATCTGGGAGTGGAAGAGTCTGAAGCCATCATAGAAACCCTCAATCCCTCCTTACAGAATGTCAGATGTTTAAAGTTTTCAGGGCAGTAAAGTAAGGCAGCAACACTGTATTGTGCAGCTGTTGGTCTCCTTTGTCTAAGTTTGGTCCCAGTCAAGAGCTGAAGTGAGCATGAGTGTGCTGGGAAGTGGGCCCCGTGTGTTGGGTTCAGGGTAGGTAAGATATTCCAGGGAGAGCTTGAGCCCGGGAAAATGTTGAGCCTCGCATCTGGGAATTGTGGTCAATTTAGCACAGTAAATGGCTCAGTGTTACATATCTGGATGCCCATGATGTAGAAAAATTGGCTCTACTCTTAGGAAAGAATTGCTCGAAAGACAGCTGGAGTCTTCAGCAGGCTGATGCACAGTGTGACAGTAGGCCTGTCCTTTCCAGCTCTTTTCTCCAGGGAGCTGCCTCCAGCACTTTTTCCTCTGCAAAAACAAGCCATAATTGGCTCTGTGCACTGATCACATGAGGGGAAAGCAAGCATGTGCCAGAGAGGGCAAAATGTAGCCCAAAATAATACGAGAAGGGAAAGGAAGACTGACCACAAAAAAGTTTGGAATTTTTTTTTTCCTCTCCAAACTTAGTTTTGAAAACTTAAAAAATAAGTATACTATTTTGCATATGTAAGACAGTCAATGGTTCTGCTATTGTCCAAAGTTTTAATCTACATAGTTAAAAAAACCAGAAATATTATATGTTGGCAGCTTGGTGCATGGGAGTTGGGCAAAATATCCTTAAACATCAAAAGAGAAATTTTGTCCATGTTTTGCCAAGAGTTCATAGCAGCAAACAGCTTTCCCTTTGGATCTCTATCTCTTTCTAGATTGATTGCTTTTCTTTGTCATTACTTGCCAGCTGAGGAAGGCTCACTCTTCTTACCTGCAAGTGAGAGATAGTTGGCACTGGGTCTATGGGGAAGCGTTTCAGTAGATCGACTGGTTTTACTTCATGCTGAGCCAGTAATACTATAGCTTTCCTCTTTCTATTTCATAGACCCTTACCTTTTTGGTCACATAATTTAAAAGGAGAAGCAAAAACTAAACACAGCATGAAGGTTTCTCTGAATAGCATATGGAAGCCCCAGCTAACAGACAATATAATATTCTAGAAGGAGAAATATCCAAATTTCATCCTACCATATGCCATATCTTGTTTATGACCAGTCTTTAGTGTGGTTATCAAATAGAAAATTCATTTCAGATTTACATAATTAAAGATTACTTTTTTCTTTTTAACATAGGAAATGTAGGGATCTGGAGTATGAAAATGCTTTAGATAATTAGAAAGCAGTATCGAAAGGCTCAAATGCTCAGTATTTCTTCCAAGCCCCGGTTATTTTGGCCACAAATGCCCAAGCACCTAAGTTTCAGACTGAACATTCATATTCCCACACAGATGAGGGAGAGCTCAACAGACCAGGACAGGGGCAAAGGCATGATTGAAGCTCTCTCTCCAATATCCATCCATCTTACTCACTTAGCATTGCTACTTTTAGTATTCAAGTTAACATTCAAGTGTCCTCTTTTAAAGTGCAAATAATGCTTTAATTCTATGCACTCAGGGCCCAAGAGGAGAGGCTGGTGTGAAAGGAGAAAAAGGAGCCCTAGGAAGTAAAGGCCCCCAGGTATGTAATGAGAGTGACTGCATCTGACTTCGATCTTGGGTTTAACATGGATGTCTTGTGGTTTCTCCCTGGCAGATGGCATTATTTACTGCCTAGGACTGAGGAAAGCGTATTAGGTTCGACTTCTGTGCCCCGGTGTGGTGGCCACATCACATCCTGGTCCCCATCTTACAGAACTGACTGTTATTCTGTCAGACACAGAGGTGGAAGGTCTAGCCCTCTTTGCTCAGCTGAGGTTAAGAATTTCTCCTCTATGGAAGCCAGTCACATCACTCCCCTGACCTCGATCCTCTTGGGGCTTCCCATCACCCCCAGAATACAGCTTGCTTTAGTGGTCCTCAACCTTGCATACAAGAATCTCCTGGGGGAGACTAAAACATTCAACCCTCCTCAGAATACTTAAATCAGAATCTCTGGAAGTGGAGCCAGGGTATCAGTAGTACCCTGGTGATTCTGCCCAGGTGATCTAATATATATCTAGGGTTGGGTATGACGGCCCAACATTAGAACTTCTCCAACTTCACAATGTGTAAGAATCCCCTAGAGAACTTGTTAGGGTGCAGATACTGATGCAGTAGATCTGGACGGGGCCTGAGATTCTGCACTTCTAATAAACTGCTAGGTGATGCTGATGCTGTTGGTTCCCAGACCACGCTTTGAGTAGCAAGCATGACCCTTGCCTACCTATCATAGTGTATATTTATTCTTAGAGCTGTGTGTCTCCCCTTCTAGATTGTAAGCTCCATGAGGGCCAGGACTTTGTCTTGTTTACACTGTATCCCCTGAGCTCTGAACAGCAGTACCTGACACATGATAGAGCTCAACACATATTGGCATAGTGGATCAGACAGTAAATGAATGAATGAGACACTGTTAGGAATTGTACTGTCCACTAAGATAAAGAGAATCCATTACTTTGTGTTGATTAGTTAAACTGGGCAGTGGCTCAATGCTTAAGTGGTTGTGTTCATCATCAGAAAATTTAAGACTATTTGTATAAACTTAAGTCTCATGACACTATTTTAAAGCATCTTAATTACTGTTCATGAAGATATTTGTTCCCAATTTTAATGAAGGTGCTCTTTCAAAAAGCATGGAAACTTTAAAATTTCATGGTAGAACTAAATTGATGTTTTCGTAACTATATAACTATCTTACATTCATATCCTTGAACCATTAAAGTGCTTGCTGGCATCACAAATTGAGAGTTTAAAAAAAAAAAAAAAAAAAGACAGGCCAGGCACGGTGGCTCACACCTGTAATCCTAGCACTCTGGGAGGCTGAGGTAGGCAGATCACTCAAGGTCAAGAGTTTGAAACCAGCTGGAGCAAGAGCGAGACCCCATCTCTACTAAAAGTAGAAAGAAATTAAACTAAAAATATATTTTAAACAATTAGCCAGGCATGGTGGCACATGCCTGTAGTCCCAGCTACTCAGGAGACTGAGGCAGAAGTATTGCTTGAGCCCAGGAGTTTGAGGTTGCTGTGAGCCAGGCTGATGCCACAGCACTCTAGCCCAGGCAACAGAGTAAGACTCTGTCTCAAAAAAAAAAAACCAAAACAGTGAATACCAAGAAAAACATACATTGGGTGATTATCTTCTCTGTTTATATAAAATACTGAGATGTAGATGGGTTGCAATCTAAAGGTCTTGGTGTTTCCCTTGCTCTAGATTCCAAAATTGTATCCAAGTGGCTGTTACTCAAATAAGTTATTCTATTTGCTCTGTAGGGCACCTCTGTGAGTGAGTCCCCTTTAATCTTGCTTTGGCAAGATTGGTCATAGTCATAAATCATTCAGCCTCTTGGCATTGCCAGAGTTAGCCAAAAGGCACCACTTCACTTGTCTAGCTCTTGCATTTTCTGGCTGGAAAATATGGTTTTCTTTGCATGCTTGTCTTGAAATACTCTTGTCAACACAGTGAAAATGCTGTTTCAAAAATGTGTGAAATTTTTTTATGTTCAGGATGTGATGAATGAGGTCTTAGAATTGCTGTTTCCAAAGGAAAACCACAGAGACAAACATAATCAGATATATAAGAGAGTGTTATTCTTTACTGGCTCTATAAATCCATCGCCATAGTATTCATATTGTTTTATAGCATATAAGGGCCAACCACTGGAGTGGAATAACAGGAGTGTTTTCTAAATATGGACTTTAAAGTTTTTCTTAGAATATACATTTTGAAAAAGGGGTGTGATTTCTGCTGACAGTGTTCTTGAAGGCTTATTACACAGTGTTAGGGCATTCTGCATAAGTCAAATGTGCGTTCATCCATCCGAGTATGTGGCTATGATATAAAAGAATATAGTCCATAGTACAACGAAAGGAAGAAAGGGCTTTGAAAGGAGTGGTGTATTATTTTGTACCTTCCTACATTCCCTCTGTTCGACTTGCCCTAAAGTCCTACGCTAATTTGATCAATGCCTGGAAAAAAAAAATGGAAATCAGATACAAAGATACTAATTCCAATTGAAGCTGTAATTATTCTTTAAACACTTATGCTTTCATAGTGAAATAACAGGTAGCATGTGCAATATCAAGAAATATTGCAATAGTTCAATGCAAATGTGGAGTACAAAGTAGAATTTCTGTTGTCATCTTTACAAAGCATAGCATAGTGGTAAAGGGCATAGACTCTGGAGCCAGACTGCCTAGGTTTGGTTCCAACCTCTGATTCCTAACTTTGTATATAGAGAACTGTCAAGGTGAGTTTGGGAAGCCATAAATGGCTCAATGTGGTTGGAGCATAGGATGCATGGAGAAGTGTTTAAAGTTAAAGCTAAGGACTAGTATTGTCAAAATTGACATCTCACGTGTTTGGGGATTTGTTCTTGCGTTAGCCCACCACTTGATGCCCTCTTACTTTTTATTTTCTCAGACTTAGCTCGTAGCTAACTCTTACAGAAGCTGAGCACTTAATCTTCTTGTTTCTCCCCAGTTTTATATTTGTTGGTTGTGAGTTTTTGCGAGATTTTCTCCCATGCAAATAAAAAATAGGAAGTGAAAAGGATTCCTTTTAAGTGTGAGAAGAACCTGCACCTCCCTTGCCTTATCTCATCCGAAGTCAAGATATCCTTGGCAATGCCCCACCACTAATCCCAAACTCCTAGTGCAATCCCTTCTGATAGGATGCTAAGGACAATTTTTTTTTAAATGTTAACCTCTAAATACCTTTTCTAGCCTCACTTAATACTAAAGCAGTTGTGATTGCCAAGAGCTCTGTTGTAGACTCTCAACATGAGCAAACCCCTCCTCCCCATCAAGTCCCCATGTTGGAGGTTGGATTTGGCTCTACCCTCCTGCAAGTTTGGAGATTCATGTTTTTAAAACTCCAATCTGGGCTGGTGTGTGGAGGGCAAGAGTTTACAGATCCTGTTTTAGGCAAGTGCCTCAGAATAGCAGATAGAAAAAAATGTGATAGAGTTGGGTTTATTTACAATCTCATCTTCTTATTAACTGAGTGATTTGGGGGTAAATGCCTTGAGAATCTGTTTTTGATTGGTAAATGTTGTTAATAGGTATCTCACTGTATTGTGAGGATTGAAGACTATGTCTATTTACCACTTAGCACAGTACTTTGCACAGAATAAATGCTCAATAAAAAGCAGCCATTACAACAAAGCCAATGCAGATTTCACCTCTAGCTAACGCCCTTCCCCTTTGAATGCCCTAAGCCTCTCTTTACATTTCATAGCTATTCTTGAACTCAAGTCAAATAAACTCTTCGACTCTTTGATATCTTGGAAATGATAGGAAAGTTTTGCCTTTCCTTTATAAACCACCAACTTGATCCCTTATCCAACTAGCAGTATTTGAGTAGGTAATTTATCTGGGAACAAACACTGTAGCTTGAACCCCATTCAATCAGTTACAAACCTCAGTTTGGTATTTTGTGGGATCCTGCATAGGAGGCAGCATTAGGTTTTCTGATGACAGGACCCTATATATATTCATCTATCCATTCATCCCCAATATCTTTATTTGGAGGTTTTTTTTGTTTTTGTGTTTTTGTTTTTTTTTTGAGACAGAGTCTCGCTTTGTTGCCCAGGCTAGAGTGAGTGCCGTGGCGTCAGCCTAGCTCACAGCAACCTCACACTCCTGGGCTCAAGCAATCCTGCTGCCTCAGCCTCCCGAGTAGCTGGGACTACAGGCATGCGCCACCATGCCCAGCTAATTTTTTCTATATATATTAGTGGACCAATTAATTTCTTTCTATTTATAGTAGAGACGGGGTCTCGCTCTTGCTCAGGCTGGTTTCGAACTCCTGACCTTGAGCAATCCACCCGCCTCGGCCTCCCAGAGTGCTAGGATTACAGGCGTGAGCCACCACACCCGGCCTGGAGGTTCTTAAAACAGGATAATCTCTCTCTCATTGTGCTTGTGTATGCTTGGGGTAACTATATATGAAATAATCTCCCAGAAATCTCCATCTCATAGAGTTCATTATGTCTGAGAAAAGCATGGAAAGTAGGCTCCTAAGCAAAACTTCCAATTTGTAACTTGCTGTCAAGGACAATTAGAATCTCTCTACTTCCTTTCTCTGTGAAGTACATGAAAATTGCATGTGGAAAAACAACAAAATAAACAACTATTTTATCCCTCTTGGGAATCATTCATGGATAGGTATCTGGATAGACAGATAAATAAATAGATGGATAGATTGATGGGTTCTAGGTACTTTATGATATTCCAGAGATGTGAAGTTAATAAGATATGCCCCTTCCTTCAAGAAGTATGCAATCTTGTCTCTAGTGAACAAGAGAGAGAAATAAATTAACAATTATTTACAGGGTAGAGGAATCTGGCACTACCCATCTCACTACTGGTGTGAGACCTATCATGGGCAAGGGCTTCAGATATTCTTCCTGAAACAGTGACGCTAAATGTAAGGTTTTCAGAAGTGCCTCTGTACTCTGAACCTTTCCCTAAAGGGAGAAATGGACCAGCTAAAGGTAAAACTTAGATAAGTATGAAGACATAAGACAAACATTTGGTGACTCAGATGGTTTGATGTGCACGAACATAGAGTGATTGAAGAAGTCACAGAAGATGAGGCTACAGAGGCAGGCAATACCAAAATTGAGAGATTTTGCATATTAAGCAGACCTTAAACTTTATTCTAAAAGCCACTCAGAATTTTGAATTTTAGACAAAGTGCCAGCATCAGCCTGACATTTTAAATCACTGTGACAAAAGTGTAGAAAATGGATTAGAGAAAGGCCAGGCTGCAGTCAGGGAAGCCAGGAATTTAGAAAGGATTAAAGTGGGCCTGAAGGCAAGTGAGGGCAATGGGAACAGCAGGGGGATGGACACAGAAAGTGGACAGCTTCTGTGGGCCTTGTAGCTGAGTTCACAGGTGAGCTAGAGGGAGGGTCTAGGATGATTCTTAGGCTTGGGTTGGGTTTCGGGGAGAGTAAAGGGTGACAACATTTTTTGATCAAAAGAATATGAGACTAGGAACATGATTGTAGGTAGACATTATTTTTGGTAATTCCTATGGGATATCCAAAAGGTATTTTAATAAGTGGGTCTAATGTTTAGTTGAGTCATTGGGACAAGAGATGCACGTATTTAGGAGTCATTATGTGGAAGTGGTATGTGTGTCTGGGGGGAGCTACTTGGGAAGAGGGGACAGAGGGAGAAAAAACAAGGTCAGAGGATAGAGCCCATAGGACAATAGAGGTTTAAGAGGCAAACGGAAGAAGTGGAATCTTTGAAGGTTAATGAGAGAAGACTGGAGCGGGATCAAGACCACTGTAACTTGGTGTTACAGAAGCTAAGGGAGAAGTGTCAAAGAACACGTGATCAAACACAAGGTAAGGACAGAAAAACATCAACTGGAGCGAACATCAAGGTCATGGCAGTTAGCACCATGCAGTGGTCAAAATGAAAGACAGGAATGGATCAAGAGCTATTTATGGAGTGTGGAGAAACAGACTTTTAAGATGAAGAAGGGAGGAGGAAAGATGGGAGTTTCTGGAGAGATTATCTTCCTTAGCAACCAATTGATTGTTCAACAATCCTATTAGGAAATTTTTCGTGTCTAAGTTATTACATTTTTAATTTTGGAAAGATGAACTTTTTTTTGTTCTGAACAAAATAAATTTGCTAAGTATCGTGCTTATTACACAGATTTGTTTATTTATTTTTGAATTACAACAACTGTGACAAAAAAATGTGAAAATGATTTCAAATCACTGGAATTAGGATTACTTACAAATACCTGTAAACAGTTTTACCAAAAGGGATTTCTCTTGCCATGCGTTTGAATATCCCAAAGGAAAAATCTGATCCCAAGTGTTAATAACAGAGAAAGGCAGTTGTGTTGTCTCTGAACTGAGATTTTAAAATGTTCAGTCTAAAGATGTTCCAATAAAACATGCTTTCTAGAACATTGGAAGCACTTCTGTTATATCTAATAGATTTTTCCTTATAGAAGTGTTTACATTTATCCATCTGCTCAAGTTTTATAATTATGTTCTTCAGTAAGATCTTAAATCTTTCTTTACATGGGTCTTCTATCTTGCTTGTTAAATGTATTCTAAGCATTTTCTATTTTTTTCTTTTGGAAAATGGGGGAATTTCTTTTCTAACTTATCACTAAGAAAGAGGAAACTATTTTAGAATGTTTCCCCTGTATTATTAATACCTTAAATATATTTTGTTAGTAATGCTAATTGTTTTTAGTAAATTTTCTTGAGCTTTCTAATGTCCAAATTATATTATTTGCAAATAAAGACCAATTTACCTTAAAAAAATGCTTTCTACCAAAAGAAGGAACCAGTAAGAATATAGTTCAAGGCGAATGTCATTTGAAATGCCTTCTTTAAATGTTAAACATTTTAGCAACATCTGCTCCAAGAGCAAAACAGTGAGAACCTGAAATCTCTTTGGAAGACTCACAAGGAAGTACAATCCTTAAGGCAACATCTGGCATGAATTACCTTATTAATTTTCTTTTATTTACTAGACTTTATTTGACAGCTGCGATACTTTTTTCCAGAGCAGGAATCAATACAGCCATAACTCTTCTCCCATCTGGGGTTCATTTTCCTCTTCGAAGAGACACAAAGGGTTTGAAGAAAAGTTGCTTTATGTTTTGCTATATTTGTGATCCTTATATTGTTTCAGGGGCCCCCAGGACCCGGAGGAGAAGCAGGGAATCAAGGCCATTTGGGAATCCAAGGAAATAAAGTAGGTCACATTCTTTATGTCCACCAAAGTGGAAGTTTTCTGCTCAAGAGAACCATGTCTGTCTGTATTAATATTAGCCAGAGCCCTTTCAACACAAGGGAGAACATATCTCATTGCTCCTAAACCCTGGCTTGATTCTTAGAGAGCCAGCAACCTCTAAGGACATGGGTGTGGACCTTGATGAGGTCAGGGATTCCAGCTCAGCATAATTTCATGAAGGGCTACACCCAATTAAAGCTTTAGGGATCTCAGGGAATGAGGGCTATTCTGAAGCAGGCCTTCTTTTCTCTCTTCCAACCTTTGTGTCCCTCCCTTCATTTCTTCCCTTGCTTATTTTTTTTCTTTCTTCATTCCTTTCCCCCATTCATACAAACCCTTGCCGAGCACCTTTTGGGACCAAGGCACTGTACCGAGCATTTTTCCCAGACTGAAACGCTGGCTCAAGGAGAGCAGATAGCTTTGTTTTGTTTGCTAATGCATCCCTAGTGCTTAGAGCAGTTCCTGGAAAATAGTGCATGCTTAGTAAACGTTTGTTGTTGAATGAGTGAATTTCTGGGTTGCCTAACTACGCCATGAAATCAACACCACAGAATTTAGAATCTCTTCAAGGCTATAATCTATGACATAAAGTAGATGAGGATAAGGGGCTAAAATGGAGGTTTAAACCTAGCATTAAAAGACATGTTTCTGGGATGGAAAAGACTTTGTTTGTATTAATATTAGCCATTCTCCATTCATCATCTACATTGTCTACTTTTTCTCATATCCTTTTTTTTTTTGTTTGTTTGTTTTTTTTTTCCTCACCATTGTTTCCTTGAAATTTTTCTCATATCCTTAGCCTTCTCCTTTCTTCCTGGTTTTCTCTTCTCTGATCATAAACATGCTATAGTCTCTCCTATCACTGAAAACAAATACTCTGCTCCAACCTATCCTAGACCTCACCAGTACAAATAAGTTTGTCTTACAACAAGATGAGGATTTTAGCAAACATAAAGGGAGGGAGGAGAGATTTTAATTAGAAGAAACAGTGTGAAGTGTAAATCACAGGGTTGGAAAATCCTGGGAAAAGATGGGATGAAAATTTGAACAAAAATTTTCATTTGAGTATGAAAAATGATCCCGGCTGGCAGGAAAGAACAAAAGAAAGTCTGTAGTGACTGACTTTATTTGGTAGCCAGTACATTTGTGTCTAAAATTTTTGAATGGAGCAGATGAACACAGCCAGACTTCTGGAGAATATTAAATAGGCAACCCACTGTAGAAATATGAAGCCTGAGAGATTAGAAACTAGGAGACCAGTTAGTATACTATCATAGTCTCCAAGACAAACTGCGATTGGGTGACTTAACAGGGTGAGGACTTGTGATGATTCCACAGGACTCTTCCCATAAGAAACTGAGAGAGAAAAGTGGGCTCGATGACTTGGGGGATTCCAGCATAAGTGGCAACACCACCACAGACATATGAGAGTCATGAGAAAGAGTTTAAAAGAGAAGAAAATAATTCGATTTGGGTGGTAGAGGAAAGTGTTTATATCTACTTGGAGATGTAGATTTCAGAGTATTGGATTTTTAAAACTCTTGGTGATGCCTGTTTGTAAGAAGTGTAAGAGGAAACAGAAGACAATAAATTATTAGGAAAGAAGGAAAATAAACAGAAAAGCACACTGGATTCTGAGAAGAACTGTTCAAGAAGGGGAAGAGGAGTATCAACTGGTACAGAAAAGTTAAAGATGGGAAGAGTGGAGACGCCATCATATCTAGTGGCTAAGACACCCCGAAAAAGAGTTTCAAAAGTGTAGCGATTCAGAGGAGAGAAAGAAAGGGGCACAGGCTGCAAAGGACTGTGTTGGCAAGAAGGAAATGGGTACAGGGCTACAAACTACTCTTTGGAAAACCAGGCCTTTAAGGAGAGGAGGAGGACATTACTCGTACTGGTGAGATCTATGAAAGGTTGGAGCTGGGTGTTTCCATTCAATGATAGGAGAAACTGTAGCATGTTTATGATCAGAGAAGAGAAAACCAGAAAGAAAGGACGAGGCTGAAGATGTAAGAAAAAGTAGACAGTGTAGATGATGATTGGAGAAATTTCTTGACAAAGAAGATGAGATTTAGGGCATAAAAAAAGGCTCAGCTTTGTAATGAAGAGCTGCTAACAAGGGCTGCTATGGTGGAGTTGAGCAGTTGAGTGTTGCAAAGACAATTAATTGGAGGATGTAATAAGATATGTGGATGACAAAAACAACCAACTTCAAAAGGAAGGGATTTCTAGGGCATGTGGTGTAGCAATAATAGTCAGGAAATGAAAGTTTGGAATAGAGGCAGTGTTGCCTTCTTGCCCTGGAGAAGGCTGTAGGGGCCGTGGTGTCACCGGTGAGAATCAAGTTTGTCTCATGAGTAAGGATGTGTGCGTGTGCATGTGAAATGAAGGTATTACACAGGGTGTGACAGAAGGCACCCAGTGGGGGAGACGGAGATGGAAGGACCCTAGAACTGGACAGAGGTGAGTATGGAAGGAGATAGACACGAGCAGGGCCATTGTGCCTAAGAAGATCATTATTAATAAAAGGAACATGGAGGGGCAAGAATTTGGGAAGTAAGTGTCTCAAAGAAAACCCAAACTCTCTAGGCAGCCCCAGGATGGGCCGAGCCCTCTAGACCTGCAGTCCTCAACCCCTGGGCTGCAGACTGGTACCGGTCTGTAGCCTGTTAGGGACTGGGCCGTAGAGCTCCGCTGGGCCCACCCTTATCCCCTGGTCCATGGAAGAATTGTCTTCCATGATACTTAGGAATGGGGGAGGGAGCACAGCAGGAAGTGAGTGGCAGGGGAGCTGTCCCCATCACTCACATCACTGCCTGAGTTCTGCCCCGCACCTCCGTCCGTGGAAAAATTGTCTTCCATGAAACCAGTACCTGGTGACAAAAAGGCTGGGGACCGCTGCTCTAGACTCATTATTAACTGAGATAAACCTAAAACACGTACCCCTGCCTTTCTCCAATAAGTTCAAGTGCCCAGGAAGCCAAGCAACCCACTAATTAATCCTGAATTCAATGCCTGGCTCTACCAGTTGACCAAGTATATGGCTCCGGACAAGCCATGTGGCTTTCCTTGTTTCCCTACCTTAAAGCAGATGTTCTCAAATTGTAGTGTGTATGTGAATCAGCTAGGAAGCTTATTTAAAAGTGCATATTTCTGGGCTCCACTCCCAGAGACTAATCCAATGTGGTCCAAGAATTTTCTTTTATGCATGAACCCTGGATGACCGTGGGATGAGCGGCCCCTAGAGCACACTTTGACTACTATTGCCCTGAAAGAGAGTCATCCGGTCAGATAATCTCCTGCTTCCCTTTCATAGAACCCTCTTCTTTCACTCCCAGAGTTCAGTGCTGGTGGACATTTATCTATTTGCACTTCTCACACTTACTGTTGCCTTTCTATCCCTAAAACTGATTTAACCACTCCCCACCCCTTAAGTGTAGGCTGCACACATTTCCACACTCTTTCCACAAAAGTATAGTATGGAAAGGGGAAAGGGGATGGAGAGTAACTGGACAGTGGGTAAATTTGACCAACCCTGCCTCAACCATAAACTAACATAAAGGCTAACATAGCAGTGATAAGTCATGTTGATAATATGAACCCCTAATATGATGTGATGCAAATGTATTTTATCACTCTGGTCTTCCTCCACCAAGCCCACAAATACAGTCTAATCATCAGAAACACATCAGGCAAACCCCAATTGGGGGACATTTTACAAAATGCATGAACCATGCTCCTCAAAGCTGTCAAGGTTATCTAAAACAAAGAAAGTCTGATAAACTGTCCCAGTCTAGACAAACCTAAGGAGATGTGACATGTGGTATCCTGGATGGGATCCTGGAACAGAAAAAGAATATTAGGTAAAAACTAAGGAAATTTGGGCCAGCTACAGTGGCTCATGCCTGTAATCCTAGCACTCTGGGAGGCCGAGGCAGGCGGATCGTTTGAGCTCAGGAGTTTGAGACCAGCCTGAGCAAGAGCGAGACCCCGACTCTACTAAAAATAGAAAGAAATTAATTGGCCAACTAAAAATATATAGAAAAATTTACCCGGGCATGGTGGCGCATGCCTGTAGTCCCAGCTACTCGGGAGGCTGAGGTAGGGGGATTGTTTCAGCCTAGGGAATTTGAGGTTGCTTTGAGCTAGGCTGATGCCACAGCACTGTAGCCCAGGCAACAGAGTGAAACTCTGTCTCAATAAAAACCAAACAAAAAAAAAAAAACCTAAGGAAGTTTGAATAAAGTATAGGCTTTAGTTAATAAGTTAATATTGATTCCATTGTGAAAAATGTGCCCTACAAAATTGCGTTAGTTAATGTAATGTTTACAATAGGGGCAAGTTAATGTGGGATGCGTAGGAACTTCCTGTTCTATGACCATAAGACTTCTGTCAATCTAGAACTACTCCAAAATTACAATTTTTTATTTTTTAAAAAGAGTTAACCTTCCTTTGTAAACTTGTGTTGATTTTCCCATGAAGCTGAACTTTCCTCAACATAATACTGAGATTGATTTATAACACACAGTAGATGTTCTTTTAGTCAGAAACTATTGCCAGGGATGTTGTGAACTCTTGACTATCCTGATTCACAGTCAAAACCTTAAAATTAGATGAATTAATCTGCTGTTTTTGCAGCAGCCGGATGATTTATGTGAATCATCATGGAAAACAACATTGTTCATTTTTTTAGAATACTACAGAGCTCCCTCCTGGACTCATGGCAAGACATTTTCATGGCTCTGAGCTGCTAAGATGGCAGCTTTACTAAACAATAAGTCAGACGAGCTGAGACTTCATTTATCAGTGGAGGACTCCTCACTCGCTAGCAATAGCTATTCCTCTTGTCACTTGCGCAACACACAGTCCTGGGCACAAACCAATTGTGTGTAATCCACATGGATGCAGTTGAATCCATGCCACCATTCCTAATGTCCATTGCAAAAACAACCTAACAAGGAGATTTTTCATTGTTCTGTTTAACAGGGAGAACCTGGAGATCTGGGAGAAAAAGGAGCTATTGGCTTTGCTGGTCCTCGAGGCTTGCCGGTTTGCATTTTATCACTACTTTTGATCTGGGCCTTGGAATCTTTTAGTTCAACAGATACCTGGTGTGGTTCTCTAAAGAGAGTTTTAAGGATACCATCCCAGTCCAGCTTTATAGTTTTCTAGAAATGGAGAGTGATATTGCCCTCGTCTTGGATTAGTTCCTTGGCCAGCTTCCCCAGGGTGGCAATTCCCGGGTACAAAACACCATGGCTGGGATGCTCTTAAAGTCAAATTATCTTTAGCATCTCAGTAATCCCCATCAGAGCCTCTTCATCAGACACCGATCCTATCCTTTCCCCAGTGCTCAGGGCTTCTACAAGGGTCAGACAGTAGTAGCTGATGGCCAGGCATTTAGGTGTTCTTCTTTTTGCCTAGCAAACTGAAAATGGTATTAAAATACAAATGTTATCTGGAAGGGGTAATCCTACTATCTCTTCTTTCTGAAAAATTATATGCCTGATATTTTCTCATTTAATCCTTATAACACTATGAGTAGGGAATAATTATTATTCTCATTTTATAGATGAGAAGACTAAGGGACAGTGCAACCTCAGTGTCTGCTACGGACAGCTGCCTTTAGTAACTACCATCACAAAATGTCAGTGGCCTGTCCCAGACAGAGAATCCTGCTTCCCAGTTTCCCTTAATCAAACCAAAAAGCTGATCTCTTGTGAATAAGCCTGCCTTTATCTGGAGCGTGGAATGTTTGTAATTAATCACTTTGTTTACAGGGTAATGATGGCAGTCCAGGCTATGGTACAGTTGGAAGTAAGGGAGCAAAAGTAAGTCACATCTACTGAAAGCTAGACATTTTCCATTTACTTTTTGTTGCTTGTTTTGTTTGCCACATTTAGGAGGAAAAAAAGCAGTAAATAAGGCAGTCCTGGACAGTTAGAAATATATTTGGATAATTTATTTGCTGAAATCCCATGGGTAATGTGTGGTAGAGAAGAAAACAATGTGATGGTTTAAGGTGCAGGAAACAATTGTAACTTGAAAATGAATTTTCTGTTCTTTGCAGTGATATGTGGTTAGGGTCTGACTTGCTGAAAATTACATCTAATCTTAGCAGCCCTGCACTCAAATTTACTCAGGGAAGCATTCCAATATTTTTCCTCTTAATCATGTTTGCTTTAAGCATTAGAGGTTTTACAGAGTTTTTTCCAAAGGCATTGGAGCCAAGCAATAACTTAAAAGTAAAACTACATCAGAATGATAATTTTACATTGTCACTGAATATTTAAGTGGCTGGAGCTAAGGTGGGTAAGTTTACCAAAACCAATGATTTCTGTATAGCAAGAATAACCACTAAGAAGGCATAATGAAAAAGATGCAATCATAATTACAAAATCCACAAAAGCATAGTATAGTTAAAGATAGCCTTTCTGCAAAATGTTTGAGACCTATGACAAAGAATTACTGAGATGGAAAACCTCAGTAATCGAGAGGCATACCAAGATGGAAAGTCTTAAATGTTATAAGGGATCACTATAATTTCAAGTGAAATCTCAGTGGGAATGATGCAAGAAGCTGTTTGAAAGAATAAAGATCCAAAAGAAGCTAAAACTTTTTATTTCAGTTTTTCAACATGGTTTGAGAAGCTAAAACTTTTTGAAAAATAAATCAAAGAGGGATTTCCTGTGAAATATTCATTAAAATAGAGAATAATTAACATACCATAATATAACCTCTTAATATCCCACAAGAAGAGAAATATTAAGTAGTGTATGGCATTAGAATATTAGCCACTCTACAAAATGAATGTATATGAAGTTTGTGATTATGTAAAGAAATTTTTATGTGACAATTTCAAGTAAAAATTCAGAATGTGCTCAGAAAAACATTTATGCCAATTGTGCTAAAATTCATTTTTAAAAAGTTAAAAAGAAATACTACAATGTATATAATAGTTCTGGGTAGTAAGATTTGGGTAACTTTTTTCTATTCTTTTGATTTCACATGTTTGAGCATTTATTCCTTTTATAATCAGAAAATTTAATTTTAAATAAAATATATTTTTTTTCATCAAATGGAAATTAATATATCTCTTCAACTATGGTCTTTGTCCAAATAAAGTAAACAAAGGACCTGAAAATGTATCAAGTTTAGACTCTCTATAGGCTTCCCCAATTTCTCTATTAAAATCCATTCTAAGATGATTTCAGAGACACACAGCCAAATGACCACCTATTCTGTTATATGTATGCAGAAAAAAGAGAGCTGATTCATAATTTCTCAGATGTGTACTTTTAGCCCCTTATCTTGGGTTGTCATGATATTTTGATGAAACCAGTAAATAGTTTAATTTAGAAATTGGAGTTAATTTCTCAAATACTGAGATATGGTTTGCCAGAATTGTCAGCCCTTTCTTGATACCGAGGTACTAAAGCTAAATGAGGCAACAGGTAAAATTAATGTCGTTATAAACCTAATTGGGTGAAGCATGCAAATATTAATCTTTCCTATTGTCAATTATAGGGGCAAGAAGGATTCCCTGGAGAAAGTGGACCTAAGGTATTGCGTATTTCATAGTAACTAGAGATCAGTTGGAAATACTCTTGGGCTTATGAAATGTATCCCAGGCCAACAGGAGAATAATGAATGATAAATAAATGTCCTACCTTTGTGGGGAAAAGAGGAGAAGAAATAGGCACATTTTTTTCCAGTTTTTAAGGTTATACATTTGTTTAAAAGTGTAAGACTTAAAAATATTTCTTTTCTAGTTTTTTTTCTTCTCAAATGGACTCCTTCCTCTCTGTCATATATATTTTCTTCTTTGCTCAAAGAAAAATAAATGTAAAGAAAACCAAAATTGTCTGGTTTTACCTGGTTCAATTTTCTCAATATGTTTATAAATCATCTTCAGATAAGTTAGCAATGACATCATTTACCTGTGGCTTTTATTTTTTCTAGGAACCCTTACTGAACTCAGTAAATATCAGGTCCTGTGGTAGAGTCAGAGGACAAAATCGATGGCACAGTTCATGTCTCCAAGATGCCCTTGTTCTGGCTGGGGAGACAGAAAAGTAAAACAATGACAATGCAATGTGCTATGTAGAAAGCTTTGCAAATAAAAAGGAAAAGAACTTTAAAGAATACTATTAAAAATGAAAAATGTCTTCATGTTAGAATCAGTTTAAAAACACAAATATATCTCCGTGAAATATATACATATATTTGATTTTAATAACCATAATTTATTTTAATGTACTTATTTAGGGTGAGATTGGGGACCCTGGTGACCCAGGAGAGACTGGACCCAAGGGAGCTAGAGGCAAAATGGTAAGCTTCTTAGATTTCAGTTGCTGACATGCATTTATAATCATTTCAGTTGAAGCCCTTCGTGCATTTATAATCATTTGCGTTGTCATTTGTTCCCAAAGACTTACAAAATGTGTGTATTTTTTGTTAAGGCAAACTTAGGGAAGGGAAATGGATATATTAGACATCCCCCAGTGCTAGCCAGAAGGCAGTGAACTATTTGCTTTTAGTGAAAAAGTTCACCTGTTCTGGCTGCCAAAGTATTATTCTTAACACTGGAAATAAGATTGTTTTAAGGAATCCTTGTGATCCAAAACAGGTTTTGCACTGCCAAACCAGGTCAGTTTAATTCTGTCTCCCTGGCAGGTTTGGTGCAACCAAATGCCCACTGGCATCTTGTGTTCAGTATTGAGGTTCTGTTAAACTATTTTTAATGAAGTGTACATGGAAAGATCCCCTCCTCATTTAGCTCAAGAGAGAACATTTCTATTTACTATGTAACTGAATATGTCTTTATTATCCTCTGGAGGGGCTGAGATATTGCCTAATGTTTTAGATCACTCTGCATACACACAAGTCTCCAGTACACTTCATTTCATGGGCTTGTCTTGGGTTCCAGTGGGTTAAGAATGGATTTCTTGCATTTGCGGAGTCTTTACATATCTTAGACTGTGTATAAATGAGATGGCTGTTTTATATATATACAAAAGCTTAAGATAATTGTCTCTTAATACAGCCTTCACCTTTTGTCCTCAGAACAGCATTGATCAGGCAAACTGGCCCTAATTTATCATGTCAATTAGCAAGGATTCAAAAAATCTGATTAAAAATTTATACTTGAGGTGGCTTTCCAGTTTTGTCTTCCTAGTTCATTTTACTCCAATCCAGTTTTCTTTTTACAAACCATCACAAAAACTTTGTATAAAGATTATTTGTGTAAGTTTTAGATGTATAAAACAAGGAAACCTCTCTTTTTCCTCACCTCCTTTTCCCTAGAGGACTGCTTCCCAGCTGTAGTTCTTTTCCTGAGATATGTTTTTTGGATCGCTATTCTTTAACATTATACTCCCCCCCCCCAAAAAAAAATGACAAAGACTGATATAATTAGAAAATACTTTCAAATTAATCCAGATGTCATCTGCATTGAAGTATTCCTGGATCATTTCCCCTGGCTTATTAATGAAGTTGTTTAACCTTGAACATCAGAAGCATGCTACAAGTTCAGATGTTTGTTGGTTTCCTCCTCTCAATGGCATATTAATAATTTCTTTTAAAAAAACAATAAACTAATGGGTAACAAACTTTCTTCCTTGGCCTTTGGAAATACTCCAATTTCTTTTTTGTTCTCCATGTTGGACAATTTATTGCTGTTTGTAACTTGCTTATTCCACCCAGCCAGCTGCTTTTTCCACCTTTACATAAGGATTTTTGGATTTGAAGTTTAGACTTTGAAAAAATTCCAGGTTTTCTCTTGAAAGAGCTAAAGTTTTTATTACAAGATTTTGATAAACTTTGCCTTAAATTACGAGTTCCTCTTCAGTTCTCTTGGAGTGGTTATATTCCTAGTTTAAGTTCTATACACCTTCACTTTGATTTTTTTCTCAAAAAAATTTTTTTAAGGCTGGGCACAGTGGCTCATGCCTGTAACCCTAGCACTCTAGGAGGCAGAGGCGAGAGGATTGCTTGAGATCAGGAGTTCGAGACCAGCCTGAGCAAGAGTGAGACTCCATCTCTACCCCCAAAATAGAAAAATTAGCTGGGGATGGTGGCGCATGCCTGTAGTCCCAGCTACTCTGGAGGCTGAGGCAGGAGGATCGCTTGAGCCCAGGAGTGTGAGGTTGTAGTGAGCTATGATGACACTACTGCACTCTATCCTGGGCAACAGAGCAATACCCTCTCTCATAAATAAATAAATAAATAAATAAATAAATAAATAAATTTTTGTCATGATTTTTAACCTATTTTATTTTGTGTATATGTGTGTTTTATATGCAGTTTTTTAGTTTTCTTTTTACCAGCTTTATACATGTGTACAATTTAACGCAGGGTTTCTCAACATCAGCACTATTGACAATTTTGGCTGGATAATTCTTGTTGCGAGGGGCTGTCCTATGCATCGTAGGATGTTTAGCTCCATCCTCAGCATCTGCCCACTAGATTCTAGCATCAGCCACCCTCCTCCCCTAGATATGACAACTGAAAATGTCTTCAGACACTGCCATATGTCCCTGGGGGGAGGAGTTGGCAAAATTTTCCCCAGTTCAGAGACTCTCTTAAACCACTGGTTTAAAGAGTCAAATAACTTCACAAGGTATCTTATTGAAAAGAAAAATGACAGTCTCTCCAGCCCCCTCACCTCCTTCCATTTCCTTCTTCCTAGAAGCAATAACTTCCATTTCTGAACTGATTGATTTGGAATTGACAATATGCCTCTAAATATCATGCTTGCATTCTTACTTTCTTGATTTTTAAGTTTTAGGCATTATAAACTGACTTGCTATTGTAACAGTTGTGGGTTTACCTTTCTTAATTTCCCATTTGTCTGAATCTTGTCTGAGGACTTTTAGATGCAGCAAATATTCTATCGAATTTAATCCTGACCCCAAGCTTCTGACCTGACCAACACAATATATTTTCCCTCTGTGCTGGTGCCCGGCTGCCACACTGCAGTCACCCCTCACGTCCACCCTGGGGGTACCCTTTGCCTCTCTTCTATGCTGGATCTCTGCTGCTTGTTCTCATTCCCAGACTCCTCTTGGTTTTCCCCTTTGTTTCATGAAAAACTCATCTAGTAGCCTGCTAAGAGATGAATGAGAGGTCAATTTTTTTTTTGATACAGCCAACATCTGAAAATGGCTTTATTCTACCTTCAGATGTGATTGATATTTTGGCCTGTATGCAATTCTAGGTTGGAATTAAATCCTCAGAATTTTGAAGGCTGTCATTTCTCTATTATTTCTAACTGCTTTTGTTGCTTTAGGGAAGGAAAAAGCCATTCTGATTCCTGATCTTTTGAATGTGACCAGTTTTCTCTCTCTGGAAACTTTTGGATCATCCTTCTGTCTCTAGTGTTTTGATACTTCATGGTTTTTATGAACTGGTGTGTGATCCATTTTTATCCATTTTCCTGGGCATTCGTCAGGCCCCTTGAGCCTAGAAATATGTGTCCTTCAGTTCAAAGACGTGTTCATTAATTATTTTGATGATTTCTTGCCCTCTGTTTTCTCTAGTCCTTACTTTTAAAACACCTACTTGGCATATTAATATATTCCTTCAATTTTCTTATCTTTTCTCTCCTATTTTCCAGCTCTTTTTCTTTTTGCTCTATTTTCTGGGAGAGTTCCTTGAATTTATCTTATAATGTTTCTCTCATACTTTAATTTTCAAGAGCTTGTTTTTGTTCTGAGAATGTTTCTTTCTTGTGGTAGACTGTTCTTGTTTCATGGTTGAAACATCTTCTCTTACCTCCCTGAGGATAAATGCATATTTTGAAGTTGTCTCTGCCCAACATTGTTTTTGGCAGTTTCTTTTTCTATTTTTATCTCACATGTTTCAAGAATGAGCTCTCTCTTCATATTTAAGAATTGAGGACAAAAGGACTGAGTGGAAGCCCTAAGGACAGGAGTGGGGCTTGTCAACTACAAGTTTCCCTGGAGAATGCTGTGGCTGAACTCTTCATCTAGCAAAGCTGTGATATCCATATCTTTGGGTCTGTCTCCTTTGTCTAGTCAAATTCCCCTGAAAACAGTTTTTTCAGTTTCCTACCTGGAGAGTAAAAGGCTAGCTGGCAGATATCTAGGAGCTATGTGAAAAAAGAGCTAGAGAGTCTTACATCTACTTCGCACCCCTCATTTCATCTCCCGGTTCCAGTGTGGTACCATGGGTCCTCCACTCTGCCTGGAGTCCCACCTCTGTCTGTTGCTAGGATGGAAAAAGGGACATTTACCCAACTGTTGAGATCAGAGAGGAGATTTGGGGGTTCCTAAAATGATTTTCAACTAAGCCTCTTTATTTCACCTCTTCCCCTCACCTTCATTTCTGGAGGGCGCTGGGGATGCCAAATCCTCAGCCTTCTGGGAATACGGGATAGAAAACACGCTGGTTCTTGGCTTTCCCTGCTGCTAGCGTAGGATTCATCTTTCTCAGATCTGCTAAGTCATTTAACACTTACACATCTGCTTTCCACATGCCAAACTTTTATGGCTATTGTCTTCTTTCTCGTTTTCCCCATCATTGTGTTTTGCCTCTTTAAAAAAAAAAACAAAAACCCTACTTCCTATCTTTTAGTAAAGTACTGAAAAGGAACAAAAGTAAATGTATATATTCAATCTGCCATTTTTTCCTGGAGGTTAATCAGTATCTTCTAAATAAAATATGGGCAGTAAGTTCATTTTTTCACTCAACCCAGAGCATTGTCAATATCATTGTACTACTCAAAGGACATCAATAATTACTGTTTCATAGGCAATGATTTTGAAAAAAATTAAAATGATTTTAGACAACTTCATTTTTCATTCCTATAAAGGTTGCAAATCCTGTGGCATATTGAATGAAGAAAAAGTATTACCCCAATTTTTAAACTAAATTCCTAGCTCTCCTTATGATAAATTTATTGTTAAATGCACATAGAAAAAGCAGATAACAACTGTGGGCTTTTTTTGTGTTATTTTTTTTAATTTCAAAATGTTAAGGGGCTACAAATGTTATTGTTACATGACAACTGTTGTTTTTACTACTGCTGTTATTCCCGCTTCATTACAAATATTTCCAGCTAACACTTAAGTGTTTTAAAGTATTTTAAAAGTATTTTAAAGGCTTTTATATTTTAAATTTGTCTTTCCAGGTTTTTTCTTTTTTGCTTATTTTTCAGTTTACTCACCTACCATTTCATTTAGATAAAAAGTGTTTTTTTGACCTAAGAATTCTAGTCCTAGCAATCTTCCCTAAGGAAATAATCACAATTGTGCATATAACTTTATAATAGTATCACTTATTACAATAAACCTAAATGCCAATAATCAGGGACTGATTAAATAAATCATAGTACATCCATGTAATAGAATATATCCAGGAAAAATGATTTTGCAAAAGAATATGTAGTAACATAAAATGTTCAGAGACATTTAGTTTAAAAAGTAACAGGAAAAAGTATGATCCAAATAATTTTTTAAAAAAAGGAATATATATCTTAATACTAAAAGAATAAAAGACACCAAAATGTTAACAAAAATTACTTGGGGAAGAAAGGATTGCTGGGGATATTTTTTCCTTCTTTGTGTTTTTCAGAAATCTCTAAATTTTCTAAAATGAAAGTGAAATTTTGAATTTACACCTTTGAAATTTAAATTTTTAATCTGAATTTAATTTTTAATTTGAACTTTAATTATACATATGTGTATAAATGTAACTTTTAAATAAACAAATTCTGCTTTGAGGTGTCTGCTGGGCTTCCAGGAGAGCAAGGATCCCCTGGGGAGCCAGGACCTCCTGGACGCAAGGTAAGTAGAAAAGCTATAAATCATACCAGGTCCTTTTCCAAGTTAGAAAAAATTCAATGCATGGAAACTTAGTTGTCTAAATGTGCATGCCTTCTGTCTCTGCTGCTTGGCCACTGTCTTCATTATTTTTATACCTTTATGAAAGTTTATGTGCTCAGAGAGAAGAGAAAAAAATGCTGATTAAATATCTCTTGGGAACTGGGAGAAACTGAGGAAGGAAATGAAAAGTATTAGACTAAAATGGTATTTCTCAATTCTCAATGAATTTTATTTATCTGTCCAATCATTGCCTTCTATCTACATTTAATAAGTGATCTTTGAATGGAAGTGGAAAGAAATTAATGAATAGTGAATACGATCAAAGTCGCATTCACATGAAACTTATTTGCTTTAGGAGTTTGGGTGGGGAATCCATGGGATTTTTTTTTTACTTGGGTGTCTTTTTCTGAGAAAAGCCAGACTTTTCCTGTTCCAAAGGTGGGATTGAACACATGAAATTAAAAGCAATTCCACTTTGTTTTTTCTATCCCAACCCAGACAAATATGTGTGTGTGTGTGTGTATATATATATATATATTTTTTTTTTTTTTTGGAAGTTAGTTGGGATCCCCTTTTGCCGATGTTCAGTTTGAGTCTCATCCTTTTGTCATTCAGTAAGTGAAGAAAACAGATGAAGGTTCAGCTCTGGCTGCTGTTCAGTGGCCAGGGCAGAGCACGGGGGTTAAAGAACTCTAAATCTCTGCTATAGGGCAGAGGCAGCCACACACACAAGGTTCAGCTAAACCTTAGCTAGTCCTGCATCATAGGCCTGCCCCAAAGCTCTGCAGCTAGTGTCAAGTTTTTGACTTCGTTCTCGGAGTCTGGACAACCCTTGTCATCTGGGGATAGAGCTGGAGGAAAGTAGCCTTTGGAGGCTTGGGTGCATCAAGCTTGATGCTTATAGTTTGTTCCCCTCAAAATATTGCTGTTAATTAGGTGATACGTATCTATCTGTATTCTTTTCTTCCCCCTCATTTTTCTAACTTAATAAAAATTAGTCTTTAAAAGTTGTCGCTTTCTTAGGGTCACGTTAGTGCACATTCTGGCTACTGATGTGTGTGTCTAGAGCCATTAAAACTGTTTGTTTGTTTCTCCAGGGTGTGAAAGGTGCCAGAGGATCGGCCTCATTTTCTGTATGTATCTCCTGACTACCACAGAGTGCTCTGAGCACTCCATTAGATTTATTTATTTTTAAACTTCAGGATCTAACAGTCTGTATTGTGTAATTCTTTCTCTTTTATGTGTTGTGTAATTCTTTCTCTTTTATTTTTGAACTGCAGACATGTGAGCTTATTCAGTATGTGCGAGATCACAGTCGTAAGTACCCTGCTGAAAATGATCACCCAGGTTGTCAGCATTCATAGAAGGAAAACGGGAACTCTGCACTCAGAATTGAGACAATTTACCAGCCAACTTCTTAAAATTAGAGATGTCACTGCATATATTTTGAATCAGCATAAACTGGTGACTATTAACTCCCTTTCTGGCTGCCAGCATCCCTATTAGAGCCTGTTCCAAGCACTAAGCAATAATATACCTAGTGCTTTTAATCAGGAGAAAATGAGGTTTAAGGTCAGCATTCTCTAATGATGAAATCAGTCAGTGAAGAGTCAGGAGGAACTTTTTAAAAATGATCATTAACACCTGCCAGTAACTGATGGGATTAAATCCGCCTGATGTGAAAGAAGCAGTTGTGGTAACGGGAGAAGCCTGGTGGATGGAAGCCCTGACTTTGATTACTTTGATTTACTGTTTGTTGTTCCTTTTCTAAAAAGGTATGTTTGATGCTTTTAGTGAGCTGCTTTGCATGGTGGCCATGCCTGTAGTCCCAGGCTACTTGGGAGCGCTAAGGCAGGAGGATCGCTTGAGCCCAGGAGTTTGAGGTTGCTGTGAGCTATGCTGACGCCACGGCACTCACTCTAGCCTGGGCAACAAAGCGAGACTCTGTCTCAAAAAAAAAAAAAAATATCTTGGTACTATCAAAAAAATCTCATGTACAAGATTAGGAGAGAGTTGACTATATTTAATGTTCACCTACAAATCCACAATAACTTCTCAAATAAGTAATATGACTAAAAGGAGGAGTCAAAAGTTCCCATAAGGCATTTTGGGAGAGAAAAATATACAAATTAAGAGCCCATTTCTGTACAGAGCATTGGTCTCCAAGATACAGACTTTTAAAAGCTCAGAATGCAGTGCTCATCAGAACTCTGTTTTTTCAGAGCAGAATGGAACCGTGATGGGAAGCAAAATACATATATACATTGGGGCATGAAGATTGCTTGTTTTTAGGTGAATTAACACAGTAGGTTTTCTGACATAGGAGCCATGTAAATTATAATGGCTCAAGGGCAGATCCAAGTGTGATGGGATCTGATCTTTAAAAATTTGAGGGGCTCAGTATAAAATCACAAATCCAAAAATAGGTACAAAGTTATTTGAAAAGTGTGTGTTACTTAGAACAAAAAAGGAAATAACCAGTAACTTCTGTATATTTTATAAGAGCATGTGGCCATATGAACAACATGGCTAGGGCCCTCCCAGGAAAGGCTTTGCAAGGGGACCCTGTAAGTGAGAGGTCTCAACTAGCGCTGTCTAATACAAGTTTCTGCAGTGATGGAAATGTTCACTGTGTTGTCTGATATGGTAGCCACAAGTTACATGTGGCTTTGAGTACGTGAAATATGGACAGTGTAACTGAGAAGTTGAATTTTTAATTTCATTTAATTTTAATTAAAGTTTCAAGAGCTACATGTGGCTGTGAATGCCATGTTGGACAAATCTGTTCTAAAGCAAATATTTACTTCAGAGTAAATCCACCTCTGACATTTATATAATATATAAACATGCACATATATGTACATATACAAACATATAGACATATTGTGTGTGTGTGTGTGTGTGTGTGTGTGTGCGTGTGTGTATATAATTGATATCTATGGGTAGCTACATAGGAAAGATTTAGAGTAAAGAGAAGTTAGGAGTTTTTAACTTTACAAATTCAGTGCACCTCCCTGCAATACCATGTTCCCTCCCAGGCACAGATTCTTTGCCTCGACAGCTGGCTGCAGGCTGCTGATTTATGGCTGTAAATTGTCCCACTTCTCCCATCCCCTTTCCTATGTTGGGTTTTGTCTACATTCTCTCCAAACCCTATCTGTTACCTTGATTTTTGAGTCATCTACAAAAAGCAGACAGAGCAGAACCTCACTGTCATGATTTTCCTACATGGTACAGAAATCTATTCTCCTACCAAATAATAAGTGATGTCCTCTGTTCTTCTTTCCCAGCTGGTGGACACGGTGAGTAATCTTTATTTACAGCATGTCTTAATCAAGCTCCAAAATGTCATACATCTGGAAAGATGAATTAGAGCCATGGACTGGCTGCCAACGGATATAAATCTTATTCGGGCTTTCTTTGCTGCTTCATACTGGTAGCAGAGTCCTGCCTCCAATAAATCACTCAAGTTTTAGCTGAGCTTTCACAGCTATTTCTCAACCAAGCATTTTTTAATTTTTATTAATATTTTAATGACTAACATCACCATTCGAGTTACTTCTAGATTTTTTTAACACTATTTCTTACCCCTTCATTTTCTTTCTCTGTTATACCATCTCTGTAGTCCAGTGGTTGGGATTAAGATGCAGAGGGGGCAGAATAAAAGTAGGGAAGATCAGATGGCAGGTAAGCGGAATGCACAGCTCAGATAATGCTAAATCCGCGGAGTTCAATGGAGTTAATCACCAAGTTGGCTTAATATTTTTCAGTGCTGGTTTTTAAGTATCTTATAAATGCTTCCTAACATGTTTTGGCATAAACCCCTCATCATCCTCTTATACATTTACATCCTTATACCTTCTGCACAAACCCACCAACCCATGCCATCTGATTGCTTGTTCGTGCATTTAACAGACACTTATTGAAAGCCTACTTTGTGCCAGTATCTGTCCTAGTTACTGGGGACACAGAGTTGAATAATGGACATGCTTCCTGTCCTCGGAAACTCCTGTTCTCATGGAGGATCCAGATAATAAATAAGCAAATATGGATGAATTAGGAACCCTGCAGTTGCTGTGAATGAGATAAAGCGTAGGATGCCCTGTCACAGGATAGTGGGAGGGGAGAGATGTTTTGGATGGAGGGCTCTTCTTGCAGGCAGTGAAACTGAAGTTTGGAGTGAAGAATATGAAGGAGCCAGCTTCAAGAGAGAACTGTAAGTGCAGAGGCCGTCAAACAGAATAGACCTAGGTGTCTCCCAGGAACCAATGGAGCCCAGTATAACTTAGATATATTTAGGGAAAAAGGAAGTGTCACATGAGAAAATGGGGAGATAGGCAGGGGCCGGAGCAAGCTGAGCTTTGCAGTTATAATAAGAGGCTGAATTTTATTTGAATTGTGATGAGAGGGTATTAAAGAGTTTGTTGAAAGTATTGAGGGGGAGAAGCATGATCAGCTGGACAATTTTTCATTTTTTTTTAAATTTCAGAATATGAGGGTATAAACATTTCGGTTACATAAATTGCTTTTGTACCGTTGAATCAAAGTGTGCTTAATGGACAAGTTTTTAAAGCCTACTTGAGCTGCCGTGGGAAGAGCAGATTGTGGGGGGGGGGGAGGTGGATAATTATTCAAGGTTTAAATATTTCACACGTTTGTTTTAATGCTTACAGTATTATTTATACATGCTTGAAAAGCTAACATTTAAAATGACTTTGCCCTCTACGCATCCTGTAAGTAAGGTTGCAGCGTGGTGAGGGACGTGCTCTTGTCCTCAGGAAAACCCGAATGCCCGGTGCATCCGACCGAGTTGGTGTTCGCGCTAGACCAGTCCCGGGACGTCACGGAGGAGGCATTCGCGCGGATGAAGGGGATGATGGCCTCGCTGCTGAGGGGCGTCAGAGTCCGGGAGAGCAGCTGCCCGGTGGGGGCGCGCGTGGCCGTCCTCTCCTACGACGCCCAGGCCAGGCACCTGGTCCGCTTCTCGGACGCCTACGGCAAGGGCCGGCTCCTGCGGGAGATCGACGCGATCCCGTACGAGAGGTCCTCGGCCGGCCGCGAGATCGGCAAAGCCATGAGGTTTATTTCCAGGAACGTCTTCAAGCGGACGCTCCCGGGGCCGCGCGCGAGGAGGGTCGCCACCTTCTTCAGCGGCGGCCAGTCCCCCGACGCGCAGGCCGTGGCCGCGGCCGCCATGGAGTTCAGCGCGCTGGACATCGTGCCCGTGGTGGTGGCCTTCGGCAGCGCGCCCGCCGTCCGGCGCGCCTTCGCGGTACGCGCGGGGGCCCTTCGGCGCTCTGCGGTCGCCGGGCCTGCGTCCTAGGAGCCCCTGTAAGGAAGGATAGGGCCACGTACTTCCAGGCCTTCTCAAAGGCAAGGCCATTTGTTCGGAAGCTTTGTAAGATTCTGGATTGGCAGCGCAGAGTCATTAGGCGTTCATCACGGTGTGCCGGCGACATGCTAGAGTGCTTTGCCATGGTGGCGCATGCTGTAGTCCCAGCTACTTGGGAGCGCTGAAGGCAGGAGATTTCTTGAGCCAGGAGTTTGAGGTTGCTGTGAGCTAGGCTGACGCCACGGCACTCACTTCTAGCCTGGGCAACAAAGGAGACTCTGTCTCAAAAAAAAAAAAACAAAAAGAATCTTGATACCATCAAAAAAATCTCATGTACAAGATTAGGAGAGAGTTGACTATATTTAATGTTCACCTACAAATCCACAATAACTTCTCAAATAATTAATATAACTGAAAGGAGGATCAAAAGTTCCCATAAGGCATTTTGGGAGAGAAAAATAGACAAATTAAGAGCCCATTCTGTAGAGAGCATTGTCTCCAAGATACAGACTTTAAAAGCTCAGAATGCAGTGTTCATCAGAACTCTGTTTTTTCAGAGCAGAATGGAACCATGATGGAAGCAAAATATCATATATACATTGGGCATGAAGATTGCTTGTTTTAGGTGAATTAACACAGTAGGTTTTCTGCATAGGAGCCATGTAAATTGTAATGGCTCAAGGGCAGATCCAAGTGTGATGGGATCTGATCTTTAAAAATTTGAGGGGCTCAGTATAAAATCACAAATCCAAAAGTAGGTACAAAGTTATTTGAAAAGTGTGGTTACTTAGAACAAAAAAGAAATAACCAGTAACTTCTGTATATTTATAAGAGCATGGGCCATATGAACAACATGGCTAGGGCCTCCCAGGCTTGCAAGGGACCTGTAACGTGAGAGGTCTCAACTAGCGCTGTCTAATAAAGTTTCTGCAGTGATGGAAGTGTTCACTGTGCTTGTCTGATATGGTAGCCACAAGTTACATGTGGCTTTGAGCACTTGAAATATGACGTGTAACTGAGAAGTTGAATTTTTAATTTCATTTAATTTTAATTAAAGTTTCAAGAGCTACATGTGGCTGTGAATGCGCGTGTTGGACAAATCTGTTCTAAAGCAAATATTTACTTCAGAGTAAATCCACCTCTGACATTTATATAATATATAAATATGCACATATATGTACATATACAAACATAGACATATTGTGTGTGTGTGTGTGCGTGGCGCGTGTGTGTGTATAATTGATATCTATGGGTAGCTACATAGGAAAGATTTAGAGTTTTAGAGCCTGTTCCAAGCACTAAGCAATAATATACCTAGTGCTTTTAATCAGGAGAAAATTGAGGTTTAAGGTCAGCATTCTCTTAATGATGAAATCAGTCAGTGAAGAGTCAGGAGGAACTTTTTAAAAATGATTATTAACACCTGCCAGTAACTGATAGGATTAAATTCGCCTGGTGTGAAAGAAGCAGTTGTGGTAACAGGGGAGAAGCCTGGTGGGTGGAAGCCCTGACTTTGATTACTTTGATTTACTGTTTGTTATTCCTTTTCTGAAAAGGTATGTTTGATGCTTTTAGTTGAGCTGCTTTGCTTATAAAATTCATAATACTCATTCTGCCATTTTTTTCTCTCTCTCAAAATTTTTTAAAAATATATTTTGATTTCACAAATGTTCATTTGAATTTGTTTTAAGACCCTTGTATTAAATAACAGCCTCTTCTATCAAAATATCTTGGTACCGGCTGGGCGCGGTGGCTCACGCCTGTAATCCTAGCACTCTGGGAGGCCGAGGC